GTTTTCAACAGTATCAACAGTAGACTAGACGAAAGCGTGGTAAGACTCAGAACTTGAAATAGATCAGAAGAAAGTATTCAAGTTAAAACAAAGCAGAAGGAAAAGGACAGAGTGGAGTGACTAAGAGCACAGGCATCTCAGGTGGTTTAGCACACAGGCCACAGTCTAGTGCTTGGGGTCTGCAGGAAGAAGATGCCCAGCTAGTGTCCTGCAGGACAGCATGACTGGAAATGGCCAGGAGCAGCTGCACGTCTCACTTAGCTGAAGCTCCTAATCTTGTGTCTCTTGAACTCGTGTGTGCTTATCGTCTACACTCTGCTATTTGAGAGAAGTAGTATGTGCTTCATCCCACTCCTAATCCCTCAACAGCCTGTCTGCCATTTGGCTTCAGGAGAAAGTGACTGTGGAGGTTGGATGAGTAGCTGAAGTTCTAAGGAGCGATCCAGCAGGCTGCCTCTTACTTTTGGCAACCAACTTACATTTGATTTAACTGAAGTAAAAGCATATGGTTCCTGGCTATGAAGAGGTGGTAAATTACAGTTCATCCCTGTCCATAGTCACAGCTAAGAACAAATAGTTCACATAATTTGTACTCCTCCCTCTTCACACTTGAGCAATTGAAAAAAAAAACTGTTTAAAGAAAAGGAAAGCGTTAAATTTGGTATTTATCCACGGGATGCTGTTTTGGTGTTGAAAGTAGTCTCTTGTGTGGACTAGTTATGCACTTAGTAAGGCAGGGGGCGCCTTAGAACACATGGCAGGACATTGGTCCCCAGGTGTCCCTCAGCTTCAGATGCTGGGCTGGTTGGTCAGTCACTGTGGCCAATCATCCCCCCACCTGCTGAAGTTGGCTTCTGGAAAGAGCTTGGCCTCTGGGGCTTGGAGCATTTGTGTACCTGTTGGATCCAGCTGCCTCATGAAAGGAAAGGGACATGTGATGAGGAGGCTGGAAGCTTGGCTTCTGACGTGTTAGTGCGTGGGTTTAGAACTTAGTGTCACATATGGTGTCTTCATTTCACCATTGTAAATGAACTTGACACCCTAATGTCACATGAACTGGCTGTCTGGCTATGAAACCACTTCTTAAAGAGTCGTCCGATCCTCCTCTGTGCTACAGATTCATACGTGCCTGTAAGAGCATTTAGGTTATTTCTCTTGTGTGTATCTGTCCCTGCATCACCCCACCCACGGTGAGTTAGTTCTTCAAGAGAAAAACGTTTGTTTCTTAGTCACCTACAGCACCCTGCCCGGCACTGTTGGCTTGCACAGTGTTTGGGATGGGTGGATGCTCAGCACTCAGTAGCACTGCAGCTGAAGCAGGCGTTTGCTCCTGTGTTTTGTTACACACTGACTCCAGGGTTTCTTGCATACCCTGGTTGCCTGTGCCTCATGGGGCTTGTTTGGGTTCTGTGGCCCAGATGAGGACATTGAATTCAAATCACCTGAGTCATAGACCTAACTTACATCTATTAGTAGTAATGGATGTGACTTACAAAGACCCCCAAGGGAGCCGGGGAGATGGCTCAGCAGTTGACACACTTGGTACTCCAGTAGTAGGTCCTTGAACTCAGATCGTCAGAACCCACATCAATGCTCTGCGAACACGGTAGCCTGCGATTCCAGCCTCCGTCTCAGAAGTCAGAGATGGGGGGCATCCATCGCCAGCAAGCTGCCTAGTGAGGCAAGCGCTATCTATGAGCTCTGGGTTTGTTTGAGAGGCTCTGCCTCAAAGCGTAAGGTTGACGAGTGGTCAAGGAAAATTCCGGACATTAACCTCATTAACCACACATATGTGAGCATGCGCGCGTGCACACACACACACACACACACACACACACACACACGCACGCACACACACACACACACACACACACACACACACACACGCACGCACACACACACACACACACACACACACACACACGGAAAGACAAAGTCGTAAAGAAGAAAGAGATGGTAGAGGGAGAATCTGGAAGGAGGGTGAGATACACTTTGGGATGTAGAACCACTCAAATGGACCCTCTTGGAGGAAAGACCCTTTCTTCTGCCAGGAGTGGGCTTCTGGAAGGCTTATGAACTGGGGAGGAGAGAAAGGGAGACTCCTGAAGACCACAACAGTGAGTAGAACCATCAAGATCAGTCACCGAAGTCACAACCAGACCCTTGGGGATGATTGTTATGACTATAATCGAAAGTAAACTATGCTTCTATTTATCTGATTAAACAGAAGTGAGCTAGCTCCTGGGAGGAGGGCACCCCAAACCATGCTGACTTTCATCTGGCTGTGATGTAGCAGGATTATGTGACTTCATTAATTTAACCACTCTGGGCCTTGGTTTGCTAAACTGTGAATGAAAGGTATAATCCAGAGCCTTTAATACACCTTGCCTCCAACTTTCTGTGGTCAGAAATCCAGCATCCCTATGGATTAGGGTCCCCACACTGGCTCCGAAGAGCAGGGAAAGCCACCCCCAGAGCATCCGCTGTGTTAGACGTTTCCTCCTAGGCCCGTCAACATTGCAGCTCTGAGGCTTTCAGGACCAATCAATACCCACCATTTAGGTGGCAAATCTGCCAAGCCAAGCAGTAAATGAGCCACATCCAGGCTGGCATGCTACCAGAACCATCTCCTGGGGTAAGCAGAGTGTAGCCACGACCACAACCCCACCACCAGACCCCAGAAGCCCCACATGCCAGGGCTTGGAGCCTTCCAGAGTAGTGTTGATAGATCTCTGTCTACAGGTCTGCGAAAGGGAACAAGATCCTCATCAGACCTGTCCCGCAAACAGGAGCAGCTGCAGAAAGGTCTGGGACTTCCCAGGCACCCCCCTCCCATTGGACAGGTGGCTTTCTAGTTCATTTGTGCTTTGCAAATTGAACACAGACAGTGGGTTTTTGTGTGTGTGTCCAGTGTTCCTTACCCCTGCCCTAACTTCCTGCCCAGGCTGTGGCCTGCCTTCAGGCCATTTCTCTCTTCTTACCAGCACTGGATCTAGCCAATCTTTGATCTGATAGTTTTATTTACACTGTGGGATGAAAAATCCACACAGCTGGTGTTGGACTCTGTGGTAACTGTTGTACACAACCTGTAAGAGGAAGACACATGATAGCTAAAGTCAGATGTTTTCATTAGGAAACACTTGGTAAAGGGGCATTCCCACTAGCCCCACCCACTCATCTGCACATGCGCATGCAGTGGCACAGTGTGTGTGTGTGTGTGTGTGTGTGTGTGTGTGTGTGTGTACACATAGAGTAAGGAATGTCCCAACCCAGCCAGGTCTCGGCTAGCTGTCCTCACTGGCTGCTTTCAGGCTGGGCAGGCCTGATCTAAAGAGGACATAGGTTGATATATTGCAACCCTCCTGTTTCCCTGCCCCTCAATGAATCCCCAGGAGACTCTTCCCTGTGGCCACATGCTAAGAGGCAGCACTGACCCCAGGCACAGAGCTGTGTTTTAGTGGGAAGCTGAACATGTGCTCTGACCCAAGAGAGGAGTGGGCATTTCTGGGACTCAGGGTGCAGGGACTCCCAGGACAGGTGAGTCAGAGGCCTCAAATCACAGAGTGGTTAAGCCTTATCCTGATTGGCAAGAGCCTGCAGCAGCTCCAAGGCTGGGGGAGGGCGAGGAAAGGAGGTACTAAAATCAGACTGACCAAAACAAAAAGGAGAAGAGGGCTGTTGACCACAGTGGAGGAGACAATGAATGCAGATCATCTGCTGACTAGAACCTCTAGCTTTATGGATCCCACTCAGCCATGGAACTGAAATTCATTGTCAGAATCATCTGTAGTGCTGGGTAATACCTTTTTTAAAAAATATATTTATTTAGGGTGAGGGGCACATGCACTCCATGAGCATATTGGAGGTCAGAGGGTAACTTTAAGGAGTCAGTTCTCTCCTTCCATCATATGAACCAAACTTAGGTCATCAGGCGTGATGGCAAATGCCTTTTCATCAGTCCCTAAGTAGCAGGGTGTTTTGTTTTTTGGGTTTTTTTTGGTATTTTCAAGATAGGGTTTCTCTATGTAGCCCTGGCTGTCCTGAAACTCACTCTGTAGACCAGGCTGGCCTTGAACTCACAGAGATCTGCCTGCCTCTGCCTCCCTAGTACCGGGACTAAAGGCGTGTGCCGTCACCACCTGACAAATAGCAGTTTTTGATATCAGATTTTGCCAGAAAGTTCCAGGGCCTTTAAGTACACAGGATAGAGAACAGAAAGAAGGAAGCATGGACTGAGAGATGCATCCCGAGCCGCACTGCTTTAAGGGGCACAGTAGCAGCTAAGACTGATCAGAACTTTCATACCTTGGCAAGAGCTCTGATTTTGGAGACTGATGGTTGGGTGTAGCCTCTTTGGTGGCACCTGAAATGATGAGCTAACCAAGGGGCTGTTTTCATACTGGTTTTTTCCATCGAGGGACTCGTGTAGCCTCAACTAAGTGGGATTTCCATCCATCAGTGGTCAGCTCTCTGCCACTATGACAAAATGCCTGGGAAAATCAACTTAATAAATGAAAATACAAAGTACATCTTGGGATGAGTTTATGGTAAAAACAGGCTGCTGGGCTATGGCAGCTTGAAAGCAAAAGACAGAAAGAGGGCTGTACTCCACCTGCCTCTTTCTTAAGGCCCCCCCAACCCCCACTCTTAATGGTTCTACCTCTTCAAGCCTTCAACATTTGTGCATTTGGACACTTCCGACACTTCCAGTGAAGCCTAAAGACTGCCTAGGATCAGGGTCTCAGGTCCCCTGTACGTTCTCAGAGAATGTTCCTGCACGTGGTTCTTGTCCAGAGTGTGCCTGTTTTATTGTCTTTGCTCTCCTTGGCCCTCTGGCCTTCCTAGCTAGCCTTCCCTTGGTGGCTCTCAGTGTCAGCTCTACCCACCCAGTGTCCCTGCATTCCAGCTGTCCACTCCTCCACATACCTTACCCAGTCCTTAGGATGGCAGAGCGGCCAGCGTCACTAACCAAAGCCTTCCCACCTTTCTGCTCTTCTCAGAACGGGCTGAACGGCTTGCATCTGGCATCTAAGGAAGGCCACGTGAAGATGGTGGTCGAGCTACTGCACAAAGAGATTATTCTAGAAACGACGACCAAGGTAAGAAGCAGGGTTGAAAATTCAAGCCTGTGGGCCTTTGTGCATTTTCTCAAACTGCTGCTTGGAAACCAGCCTAAACATGGACCTGATTTCTGAGATGCTGCTCGTCCGTCACACTCTGTTTCTCTGAGTCTCGGGTGCCACCTGAAAACACAGGACCCTGTTTCCAGAAATAGTCAGCGGCCCTTTATTCTACCCTCTCACTGGATTCTGAAACCAGGACCCTTTTATGGTGGCTTCTTACTGTTTCATACAGGGACCAGGAGTTCTGCAACATCCAAAGTTGCTTCCCCTTCTATGACCATAGGCAAGTTACTTGGCCACTGAAAAGCCTCAGTTTTCTCCCCTGTAAATAGGGATGATGATACTTACTTGCAGGGTTGGTGTGACAATTAACTGAGCCCATGTACATAAAGTACCCTGCATAAGAATTAGGTGGGAAATAGTGATGGTGACGGTGTTGTCACTGAAGAAACCCTGGTCCTTCTGATTTGTCCTTCTCTAGCAAATCTTCCTGTTCAGCCCTAAATCTATTTTCTCCCTGATTAGTTACCTGAGACGGCACTCCCTTTTATCATGAAATATTTTGCCTAGAAGCATCAATTGATATAGATTGCAAAAATAGTGGTTTTTGCATGGCTAGTAGTGGAACCCTGGTCTTCGTGCATGGTGAACACGCAGTCTACCACTGACCTACACCCACCCCCTAAAACAAGCTTTATTTCTTATACACATGCAGTATGTTTGTTAAGATGATCTCCTTTCGCCGTGCCCCGCTGCCCCCTGTCTTCCCAGCTCCATCTCCCCACGTCCCTGTCTCTCTGCCTGAGTGGCTGTAACCTCTCACTTCCCGTCCGACGCTTGTCAAACGCTGTCCCGAGCCCAGCCTCAGTTTGAGCTCTTTGCAGCCAGCACCTTGCCGCCTCTCAGGCAGAAAACGCAGCTGAATGATACGTAGAGAACAGATATAATTTGTACGAAATGAATTCCCAAATATTATGAAGGTAGAATCCTTTCCCACGGTAAAATTCGCTCATTTTCGTGTCATTCCCCACTCACTCATCGGCGCAGTGAGCCGAGTTACTCTTTGGGACTGCGTCTGCTTCCAGCCCCTTGATAGCAATTGATTGTTTTACCTGCTTTTCCCAGGGACCAAGGGGGTAGCTACTGACCTCCAGTGTACCCAGCCATAAACCTGCAGCCTCTCTTCCCTGGCATTTCCCTAGAGCTGAGTAAATGACACTCTTTCCAAATCCTCCTCTTTGGTTTTTATTTTGTGATGAATACTTACTTGGTAGATTTTATTTATAGACACATTTATGCCAGCAAAGCTTTAGAATGCCATAGAGGAAGAGGGGTATCAAAGGTGAAAGTCAAACCTTAGGCTAGGAAGACACCAGACAGACTGTGAAATTGCCATGGGTCTCCCAGGCTTAGGAAAGATTAGAAATAAAGACAAAGTAAGAAGCTAAAACCCGCCCCAGTTCCTTAGCTGGGCTCATGAATGCAAACACGAAAGATGGATGCTCTGGCTTCTCACCTCCCTCTCCATCCTAGAAACTAGAACCCAGATTCAGAGTGGGTAAGGGTCAAGTAGAATGCTCACATCACCCCACAAATTCACACGGTGCTGACCCAACCCTCCTCTTTCTGTAGGTTCTTTGGTTCCTTAAACATGGAGAAATCGAGTATTTGTAAATCAAAACAGAATTAAAGCATCTCTTCTGTTTTTTCATTAACACAGAGGATCACACCCCTGTCTTGTGACTGCCCTACAGGTCCAGGGGTCTTCTTGAGGCTTGCAGTTGGGGTGTGTTTGTGACTCTCTGTGTGTGATGTGTGTGTGTCTCTGTGTGTGTAATGTGTGTGTGATGTGTGTGTGTCTCTGTGTGTGTGTCTCTGTGTGTGTAATGTGTGTATGATGTGTTTGTGTCTCTGTGTGTGATGTGTGTGTCTGTATAATGTATGTGTGATGTGTATGTGTGTGATGTGATGTGTGTGATGTGTTTGTGTCTCTCTCTTTCTGTGTGTGATGTGTTTGTTTATGTGTCTGTGTGATGGGTGTGTGTGATGTGTGTGTGTGATGTGATGAGTGTGTGTGTGTGTGTGTGTAATGTGTGTGTATGTGTGCCTGTGTGGTATGTGTGTAATATGTGTGTGATGTGTGTGTGTAATATGTGTGTGATGTGATGTGTGTGTGTGTGTGTGTGTGTGTGTGTGTGTGTGTGTGTGTGACAGAAGAGGACGTTGTTCCCTGTGCTTTTCTAGTCTCTCATGATCAGTGACAGGCTGGGTATGGACACAGATGTTTCTGCCTTGGGGCTTCCCAACAAACACCTTCATTTTCCTCCCCGTGACAATCCCTTGAGCAGGCTGAGGAAAATCTGTTCCTTGCCTCTGTTTCAGAAGGGGAATACCGCTCTGCATATCGCTGCCCTTGCTGGTCAGGATGAGGTGGTCCGGGAGCTGGTCAACTATGGAGCCAATGTCAATGCCCAGTCTCAGGTAAGGTAATCTCCCTGACTCCTAGGACGGGAAAGTCCTTCTTCACTTACACAATTGTTTTAGGCTACATAGAAGACACATTGGCTGCTGTGTACTTCACACACACACACACACACACACACACACACACACACACACACACACACACACATTGTAGCTAGGACTAGATTTATTACTGCCACATCTCCAAGCAGTAATACAGGCATTCTGTGTTAATTTTCCAAGGCTAGACTACACATCCTTAGCATGGAGAGTTGGTCAGTATGGACTCCATCTTGGTTCAGTAGACCGGTGAAATCACATATTATGGATGGGCCATAGGTGGGTCCATCACATATACCATATACATATACCATAGGGAGGGATATAAGGCTTGGTTATTAGTGTAAAAATATAATAAAAGTCGGGGGGGGGGCTGGAGAGTTGGATCAGCAGCTAAGGGCATGTACTGCTCTTGCGAATTATCCAAGTTCAGTTCCCAGTACCCCACACCAGGTGGCTCACAACCACCTGTCACTCCGGCTTCGGGGATCTGACGTGCCCATTCATGTGCACACATCCACCCATCACAGATATACATATACACTTAATTGAAAACAGAATAACTTTTTAAGTAGAGGAGGATGTTTGAGAAGGTGCAGGACAAAACCCTTCTGTGGATCATCTCTGCCTCTTGACCTTGGGCAATAATCTTCCAGAGAGAGTGGTTTGTGGCAAAGTGAGGGTATGAAGAGAGAACATCCCCCCAACCCCCGCCGCAAAGTGAGAGGGTTTGCACCTGTCTTCGTGTCTTTCCCACGGTTTTAATGGCTTCTTCTTCGGGTTTGCAGAAAGGCTTTACCCCCCTCTACATGGCGGCCCAGGAGAACCACTTGGAGGTGGTGAAGTTTTTACTGGAGAATGGAGCCAATCAGAATGTAGCCACAGAAGTAAGTTCCTTTGGGCAACGTGCTCTGGGCTGAAAGTGTCTCAGGTACATGCAGTGATCATGGCACATAGACTGCAAACAGGTAGTGCACATTCAGACCTCCTTAGCACGTAGTCAAACAACAAACATGTGGTACACACAGTCAGACACCCTCACGGCACACAGTCAGACTGCGAACACGACACACACAGTCAGACCCTCACGGCACACAGTCAGACTGCGATCACGACACACACAGTCAGACCCTCACGGCACACAGTCAGACTGTGAACACGACACACACTCAGACCCTCACGGCACACAGACAGACCTTACCTCAAGCATAAAGGAAAACTAAGTGCCGTGGGGCAAAGGAAGGCTTCGGGGAGGAGGTGGCGCTTGAGCTGAGCTTGGAGGATGCGAAGGGCTTTGGAATCCCGTCTTTGCTCTCCCCCGACCAGGATGGCTTCACTCCGCTGGCCGTGGCTCTACAGCAGGGTCATGAGAACGTGGTGGCTCACCTCATCAACTACGGGACAAAAGGGAAAGTGCGCCTCCCCGCCCTGCACATCGCAGCCCGCAATGACGACACACGGACAGCTGCGGTGCTCCTGCAGAATGACCCCAACCCAGACGTGCTTTCCAAGGTGAGGGAAGCCAGTGTGTACGTGTCCACCAGGGAGAGCAAGCCGGGGCGCTGGAGGACGGGGCGCCAAAAGCACCCTTAGTTCCCAGTGTTTTTCCAAGACCAGAGATGATGGGGATGAAGCCTGGGCCTTAAGTGCTCAGCAGCAACATGGAAGGGCTTAGTGGGCAGCCCGACCTCAGATCCCCAGAGAAAGCTGAGATGGTTCTGGCTACTTGGGGCATTCAGAACAGCACCCAGGAGGGCAGGGTGGGCCTCCATCCAGAATGAAGCTATACCCCAGAGGGGGCTCTGGGTCGTCACCCTCTTCTTACCCCGCTGTCCTTGCTGGATGAAGTAGTCATCACATCCAGTTGCAGAAGAGCAGGAAGGTATAAAGTGGGGTTCCTGGAGATGTGGTATTTAAAGTGTTTCTAAGGACTGCTCATCCAGTTAGGCCATCGACTGTCCCTCAATCAGCTAGATTGCTTGACCTGTTCACACGGTTCCTCCCTCCACCTATTCTACCACATCCCTGTCCCCGGGGTTTGTTCGGATGTGGTCTAAGGATATGGATCAGGACGACAGTGGTGATCCTCTAGCCAGATGGCTGAGTCACACACCCTGTTAAGGGGCTGGCAGTCATGGACTCCATAAACCTTCACTGGTGACTAAAATCTCTTCATGAGAGGTGACGTCAGTTTGTAGTTTGCCTTGGCCATAGGCAAAGCCTAGACGTGACTCTGAAGTGATGCTAAGCCTTTGGACATAGCTTGCCATGAGGGCATCTCTCCACCCCGTCCATAGATTTTGCCGTTGGCCAAAGCCCGCTCTGTGTGTCGGGCCCTGTGGCCCTGTTAACTTGTTTAGAAAACCTGAGCTGGTTCTGGGACAGAGGTGCCGGTACGTGACAAGTGATTCTCCCCCTTCTCTTGCACCAGACGGGATTCACACCCCTCCACATCGCAGCTCACTATGAGAACCTCAACGTGGCCCAGCTGCTCCTCAACAGGGGAGCCAGTGTCAACTTCACACCTCAGGTAACCTCGCTGGAGTCTCTGCACACTGTCCAGAGTTTGGGGGTGCCCCTGTTTCTCTCAAGCACTCTCTCTAGCACTTTGGAATCTACCTGTGTCTCAGAAATGCCTAGGGGGCCAGAGCCCCAGTGACTAGTAAGACCTGCTGCTAGGAGATTACTGATCAACTGTCTCTCAGTTCTCACCAGCTTTGTCTGGAGGAAATTCAGAACCATCAGGTCCTCCCAGGTCCTGACTCTCCCATAGTTAACGTTGCAGCTTGTCCTGAAGCAGTCAGGAGATGCAGGCAGGCGCTAGGGAGTGGTGGGCACACTGCCAACTTCCAAAGAAGCCCCGGCTTCTGAGGACCCCCCTTTCCTTCCTCCAGAATGGCATCACACCACTGCACATCGCCTCCCGCAGGGGGAATGTGATCATGGTGAGACTCCTGCTGGACCGAGGGGCTCAGATAGAAACAAGGACCAAGGTAGGTGTCAGCAGCCTTTGGGGCCAGGACGGGGGTGGGGGGGTGGGGGGTGGGTTCTGCTCTTGAGTCTCCCTGGGTGACGGGCTCTCGGTGTGCCGCCTGCCTCCCTGAGTGGTCTGCAGCAGTCGCTGGGTGCACCAGGGGACAGTGACAAACCCCAAGCTAAAGTTTTGCCAAGTTGGCCTGCCTGAAGGCAGAACCAGAACTTCCACGTCTGGGAAAGGTGTTACAGGCAGACTTGTGCCACCTAGCCACTGATGGCCGTCTCTGGGGCGTTCCGTTTCTCACTCTCTTCTAAAGGACGAATTGACGCCACTCCACTGTGCGGCTCGGAATGGACACGTGAGAATCTCAGAGATCCTGCTGGACCATGGGGCACCCATCCAAGCCAAAACCAAGGTGCGTGCTCCTTCCTGGGTGCGCCATCTGGCAGGCGGCGCTCCACGTCAGCCAGACTTTTCTTGTTGCTGTGGCAAAATGTCTTATAAGGGCCGCTTAAGGAAAGAAGGGTTCAGGGTGGCTCATGACTGTAGGGGACACCGTCCCTTGTGGCGGTGAGGTCAGGGCAGCAGCAGAGGGTCACACTGAGATACAGTCAGGAAAAAGAAAGACAGATGCTGGCCCTCAGCCCCTCAGTCTTGCCTCTTTTATGTCTATAAAACTAACACATGGGCAGCGCTGCTGGGGCCAGCCTAGACCCCCTGGAGCACAGCTGCATTGGCCTCAGTGTGCCTTCCAGGGTGGTCCTTTAAAAGTTGTGAGCAGGGAACCCCTGTTCAGTGGCATCCAGTGTTCAGAGGCTCTCCCCTTCTGAATCAATTTACATTTCCAGAGCAAGAAGGACTTTTTTCTCTTTAATGGGCTAACAGTTACAGCTGCTGCTTCTCCACCACCGTGTCTACAACTTTAAATCCCTTTTCCTGCTGAACTACACATTTTCGTATCTTTCTCTTCTGCAGTTGTTCTCGTGCTCACTATAGACCTGCATGAGTAACCATGACAACACCTATTTTGAGATTTCTTCCACCACACAAATTCATCCGTTACTTTGCATTCAGCCTCACCCAAGTTCTCAGGACATGGTAGAAAGAAGCCAGATTCTTTGGCAGACTATAACATGAAAGGGAGCTTGTTCCTCTCTGAAACCTCATAAGCTGGACCATCACTACCTGTATCCATTCTTCTCAGCTTTCTAGTCCCCCACACTCTCATGAGCAGGGCCCACTGGGCCCTAATTATAGCCTTCTGGGACCTCTCTAGCCTGGAGTTCTGAAATCTACTAAATTTCTCTTGCAAAACAGTTCTAAAGGCCTGGGAATTCTGTATCACAGAAACTGCACACTTCTTAGTACCAGTTTTTCTGACTAGTTACTTTTCTTGTTGCTAGGACAGAATATATGACAAGTTCAGGAGGGAAGAGTCTGGTTTGGCTCACAGTTTGAATTTGAGTCCATCATGGCGGAGAAAGCCTAGCAGCAGGGGCATGAGACAGTGGGTCACATGCCACCCATGGTCGGAAACAGAGAGGTGAATGCTGGTGCTCAGTTCTCTCTCTCCTTCTGCAGTCAGTCCTGGACCTCAGCCCGCAGCATGGTGCCTCCCATATTTGGGTCTTCATTTCTCACTTAAACCTTTCTAGAAACACCCTCAAAAATACCAGAGGTGTTTCCATAGTGACTGAAAGTCCAGACACATTGACGATGGATATGAGTCATCACGCAGACCCAGGATCCCATTTCTCTACAATCAGAGATGTTGATTCTGAGTGTGATAGTATGTACATGTGGCATCTGTTGCAGCACCCATACTGGAGGCAAAACTTCTTATCTAGATTAGCAGTCAGCAACATTTTATCCAAAAGCCCAGGTAAGCAAACATGTTTTGGCTTTGCAGACAATTTCATTGCTGTAATTAAAAAATCTGCCAATGGGGCAGAAAAATATCCATGGGCAATATGTACACAAGTGACCATGTTCCAATAAAATATTTATGGGCTGGGGAGATGGCTCCGTGGTTAAGAACACTTGCTGCTCTCGCACAGGACCCAAGATCACTTCCCAACACTCATATCTGGTGGCTTACAATCTCCTGTAACCAACAGCTCCAGGGAATCTAACACCCTCTCTGGCCTCTGTGGGCACCAGCCTGCATTTGTGCAGACACACACAGACACACACAGTCACATAAGTAAAAATGAAAGGAAATATTAAAAGAATATTTACAAACCCAAATGGCATGCTGGGTTTGGCCCCGGCTTCAGTTGGCCTGTGTCTGCTCTAAACCAGCCCCTGTTTCTTCCATCCTAGCTACTGAAAGGACAAGAGCTACGCTTTTAAAAAGTCTTCAGAGCCTAGCACAGAGAGGAGAGAAATTTAAAAAAAAAAAATATTTAAAACCACTTCAGTCAAGCTCCAGAAGAAGCCGGAGACAGGCTTATCTCTAGGTTCTAGGGTATGGACGCAAGTCTTCCAGGAAAAGCAAAAGCTGTTGGCCACACAGTGCTTCCCCATCCCCTCCCGGCTGGGATGAATTAAGACAATGCGTCTAAAGCAAACACCAGGCCCATTCACAACCACAGTTCGGGTCCAGGTTCGGTAAGAGACCCTGTCTCAAGGGACTAAGGCAGAGAACAATAGAATAGGACGTCCAGCTTCCTCCTTTGGTCTCTGCCCACATCCAAAGGCCACACACACACACACACACACACACACACACACACCCCAAAATGAAACCAAACATACCCGGACTAGTGGGATAGTTCAGTGGGTAAGGGTTCTTGCCACCAAGACTTACAGCCTGAGTTCAATCACCAGAACTCACATGGTAGAAAGAGAAACCGACTCCAGCAAGTTGTCCTCTGACAGTGAATGCCCACACATACACCATGGTGCAGACATGCCCTCCCACCACCCCACAAACACACCCAATAAATAAATGGGAATGCCTTTCAATTAAAAAGTTTAGAGAGATCTAAAACCTGTCTTGTCGTCCTTTTTCCACTCAAAGACACATGAATTAAGGCCCGCCATGCATGTTGCGTGTACTTATTGGGCCCTGTGAGCATTCGGGAAGAATGAGGTAGAGCTTGTAATTAAGAGAAAAGACGTGCCCAAGATGGCACCTGCAAATTCAATGATTTGGCAAAGGTGGAAATAAGGTCAGACTGAGTATGGACCAGCGAAGCCCTGGGGAGTCCAGGGTGGTCAGGGAGACCTTGCTGGAAGGTTTGGGGCTAGCTGGAAAGGCTGGAGGATTTGGCGAGGTGGGAGAGAACATTTTCATCAGAGCCCAGCTCACTTGGGCTCCACACTGAAGAACTGTGTCGACGAGGAGGACATGGCCTTGCCACCACTGTCCTGAGTCCCCTGCTCTGTCCCTGGGGCTTTGCCATTGCTCTATTTCTCTCCCTTCAGAATGGCTTGTCCCCAATTCACATGGCGGCTCAGGGAGACCATCTCGACTGTGTCCGACTTCTATTGCAATACAATGCGGAGATAGACGACATCACCTTGGATCACCTGACTCCTCTCCACGTGGCAGCCCACTGTGGCCACCACAGGGTGGCTAAGGTTCTTTTGGACAAAGGGGCCAAGCCCAACTCCAGAGCCCTGGTGAGAGGGCTGTTAGGGTGAAGGGATGGGGGTTGGGGGGCGCAGAGCTGCATGGGTGCTGCAAGGGTGAAGGGATGGAGGTTGGGGGTTACAGAGTTGCATGGGTGCTCTGTACCCAGGGCAGTACCATAGGCAAGAGCATATCGGGCATGGAAGTTTTATACTGCAATCCATGTCCGGGGAGTGTGGCCTTCTGCACTTGTGACCAAAGCTTTACCCACAGGCTGAGGTCCACTGTGGGTTTATCCCCAGGAGTTCTGACTCTGAAAGTGATGTTTATGGTATGCATGTGGGTTCAGGGGCCCCAGCCAGACTCAGAGCTGAGAGGCAGTAACGTCTTAGAAGCAGGCCTGGCCTTCAACCTACTGCGGGGTGAGGATGCATTGGCCTGAGCTGAGTACATCTCCTCTTCAAGGGGACTCTGGCCACAGCCCTGGGAGGCAACAAGTTCAGACCTAAGGCAGAGTACTCCTATGGCTGTGCTCCTCACCCTCCTCCCCAGGCCAGAGGCCGCCAGGGTAGTTCAAAGAGCCATAGGGCATGTCCAGGACCCTTGCCTCACACTTGTCCATTCTCAGTCGAGAACTGAAGGGACAGGTACCTTCCAGAGGCAAAAGAGCCTTCATTCCTTCAAACCTGTTGGCACTGAGCACAGACCAGACTCTGGGGTCACTGAGGCTTCCCAAGCTTGGGGCTGTTGACATTAGGGTTGAAATGTGCTGTCCTGTCTATTGCAAGGCTATCTCTGATCTCTAGACACGAAATGCAGTAGTTCTGCTTCCCTACCTGTGACAGCAAAGACATGGCTACAGCCCCACCCGCACCCCCAGAAAACTGACCTTGTTTGAGAAGCACTGCCCTATGAAGTACAGAAGAGGCAGACAGACAGACAGAACCCTGTCCCTGTGGAAGGGTATACCAGTGTAACATGCTGTGGAGCAGAATCCATTTCATTCAGCGTCAAATAGAAAGGAAGTAGTTTGCCTCCAAAAAGTACTCTTTCAGTGTATCCAGAAATATGACAGAATTTTTAAAAATGTTCCCAAATATCATGCTCAGAAATATGCTTGATGTGTAACGAGAAGGAACGCCTGTTTGTTGTCTGTTCATGAAGTGGCATGGTCTATGCCGTGGTCTAGGAGTGCTCGCTGGTGGGCTGGGAAGGGGCGGGATGCCTTTCCAGTTCTTTGGCTACTGTCTGAGTTGACCTGTGTGCTCTGTGTGGGCTACAGAATGGCTTCACCCCCTTACACATCGCCTGCAAGAAAAACCACATCCGCGTCATGGAGCTGCTGCTGAAGACGGGCGCATCCATCGACGCGGTCACTGAGGTAGGAGAAAGCACAGGTGTGCCTTCAGCCCCGCCCCACCCCCATCGCCTTGCGTGGTTATTCTCCATGGCTCTGTGTGGCTGCAGGTGTGCATGGGTGCATGTACATGTCAGCATGTCTCAAAAGGGGCTGGATCAAGGGGACTCACAGACACGAGGACTTGTCACACTGGGAAATGATGGTTTGACTTGTGAAGTGGTAACACTTTTCTGCCAGTGCTTTCTGTCCCTGCGGCCATCTGCCTGAGAACAAGCCCACCTGGTTTAAGTCCATTGTCTCAGGTAGCCGTTCCTGGAGCTCTCCAGCAACAGAAGAGTTTAAGATACTGAGGCTTGCTCTTCCTTGTGGAGCAAGTTCCTTCCTGCTCATCACTCTCCACTCCGTCCCTTCTAGTCTGGACTGACACCCCTCCACGTGGCATCCTTCATGGGACACCTTCCTATCGTGAAGAACTTACTGCAGCGGGGAGCGTCACCCAACGTCTCCAATGTGGTGAGTTCTCGACGACAGTGGGAGCACTTGGCTCTGGTCCACGGCTCCGAGGGAAGCTGTGGAAGGGGGGTCCCTGTTCTCTCCGCCCACAGAAATGGGATTCTCGGGACAGCAAAGGTGTCGGGAGTGGGGCGAGCAGGCCTCTCTATTGGTGCTTCCCCAGTTAAATTTGTCACACAACTGTACATCTTTAGAGTTTTATTTTGGAACTTCTATAAGTGCAATCTGGAAGTACATCCCCACATTTGAATATTCATTACCTCTGAGGTTTCCTTTCACGTTTACCTAGACTACTGAGAGAGAGAGAGAGAGAGAGAGAGAGAGAGAGAGAGAGAGAGAGAGAGAGAGAGAGAGAGAGAGAGAGAGAGAGAGGAAGAGAGAGAGAGGCAGAGACAGACTTGGCTGGGCAGCTCCAGCTCTTGGACAAAATCCTACCAAGCCCAGGCAGCAATCTGAGTTCGGCGTGTGTCCTTTTGCAACCCCAGCATGTGTTAACCGTTCTATAACTTGGTTATTTTGCAGAAAGTAGAGACCCCATTGCACATGGCAGCCCGAGCAGGGCATACCGAAGTGGCCAAATATTTGCTCCAGAACAAAGCAAAAGTCAATGCCAAGGCCAAGGTGAGCTCTGGAGGCAGGAAAGGGAGGGTCCCAGGGTCCCTCCAGCCTGTCGAAGGGAATGCATTCTGGTCAGAGGCCAGGGGCTCACAGGCGTTACCACTCCCATGTAGGTCACATCAAAAGCTCCAGCTCTGCTTTGCTGGAGTTCTGAGAAGGGCAGAGATATTCTTGTGTCCAAGCTGTGTTTCTGTAGCGTAACAAAACCCAGGGAGCAGGCTGGCCTGCAGCTTTTATTGGGCTAATGAGTAGATGTGACTGAAGGAAGGGAGTTGGCAAGATGGTGTCACCCGTGGTAATCAGCCAGGATTCACTTGATCTAAAAGTGGAGGATCCCCGGTTGTTTACTGGATGATGAAGAAACCATACGATCAGCTACAGAGTGTGCTAGATAGGCTGTGTGGCAAAGACCTGCGCTCTGCAGGCGACAGACCCCTTTGGGCATCTCTGCTTGAGCCCAGTAGCCGATATGCCATCCGTGGAACCCCTGCACCGTGAGCTATACCTGGAAGCTGGAAATGAGTGGGATAAATGGCTGTCTTTCCCAACTCAGTGGTTTGGAGCCCTGGGACCGCTGACATAGAGAATATCAAAGTTGAGTTCAAACATAAATTAAGTACACAGGCAGAAAGCTTGGGAGACAAAGCTTGTTGGAATAGCCATCAGTTTACAGTATCTTTTCTGTGTCCAACATTGTGAACCCTTTGTGTCCATTAGCCGTTTGATCTGAACCCTATGAAATAACGTTACATTTCCCCACTTACAACTGGGGAAGCTGGACCAACCTTTGAGCAATTAAGTAGCAATAACCACGAAGCTGGTGAGTTGTAAGGATTAAATGAGGTAGAGCATATTATTTTCTGTAACTCAGAGACTGGAAGAAATCCCAGATCTCTTTATTCATGGCTGAGTCACTTGCTCTCTCTGGGCCTCGCCTCCCGCCCCTGGGAAATACGGTTGGGGTTTGGAAAGGTTAACATTTCCAGTTCTGTGTTTTCACCTGGGGTCCAGGATGACCAGACGCCGCTTCACTGTGCCGCCCGCATCGGCCACACAAGCATGGTGAAGCTCCTCCTGGAGAATGGTGCCAGCCCCAACCTGGCTACCACTGCTGGCCACACGCCCCTGCATACCGCAGCCCGCGAGGGCCACGTGGACACAGCCCTGGCCCTTCTGGAGAAGGAGGCATCCCAAGCCTGCATGACCAAGGTACAGTCATACAGCCGCTGTTCCGATTCTTAGAAAGCGGCAGGCTGGCGGCGTTTAGTGGCCCACCTGTGATCACAGCACCCAGAAAGCTGAGGCAGGAGGATCACTTGAGCCCAGGAGCTCAAGGCCAACCTGGGCAACATAGCAAGACTGGATCCCCAAAAAACAAAAACAGAAACAAAACAAAAACAAGCTCCACATATTTTTCAGAAACAATAGGCTGGGCCCGGGGCTCTGAAGGGGATCCCCAACTATCCTTCTTTGTGGTCGTGGGACACTGCAGGCCCATTGTGTCTTCTACCTCCCCAGAAAGGGCATAGTCAGTTCTCTGCTCCCACCCAGGTTTCTTCTATTTCTCCTGCGGCAGTTAACTTGCTAGACATTTGCTCTAGGTTCCTAGGATCTAGGAAGGATCCAGGGGTTCAAGGACTGGGAAGTAGCTTTGTAAAGGAGTGCTTGCCTGCCACACGCAAGGCTCCAGGTTCATTCTCTAGAGCTGCAAAAGATAACTAACTAAGTAGGTAAGATTCTGCTGGACAGAGTGACACACACCTGTGATCCAGTACTGCAGAGAATGAAGCAAAGAGATCTGGAGTTCAAGGCCAGCCTGGACCACATAGTAAGACTGTCTCCAAAGGAACAATAAACAAAAGAGACAGCCCCTGCCTCTCTGAGTCAATAAGCAGTTGACAATATCAGAGGCAGCTTTCTCTTATTTCTCGTAGGAGAGTTGGCCAGGTGGTACTCAAGGAGGCTTGTAGCCTCTTACAGGGACCAGAATACTCAGGTCCTTCTGCCACATTGGCATTCCCATGCTGGTTAGGGCAGGAAGAGTCCCAACCACACCTTCCTTCAGATCAGCGGCATTGGCTCCCGCGGTCCTGATGGCCTGTGTTTCTCCTCAGAAAGGATTTACCCCTCTCCATGTGGCTGCTAAGTATGGGAAGGTACGGGTGGCCGAGCTGCTCCTAGAACACGATGCACATCCCAACGCAGCTGGAAAAGTGAGTTTGAACTTCCTTCTCCCCTTCTCGGTCTGAGAAGATTCCCTCTCCTATTTAGTTAGAGGAAGTGAGAAGGGACAGACTTCCCCACTGAGAATCACTTCTCCGGCCTGGGCAGCCTTCTGTAGAGGATGGTCTTTGGAGAAAATCCTGACAAAGAGCCTCGTCTGTTAGAAGGACCTGGTACTCTCTGAACAAGTGTGTTGATTTCATGGCCCCCCTCCCCATCAGGCATGAAGGAATGGTTCTAGATCCTGCTGGGGCTGTCTTTCAGGGGCTCTCCTTCAAGACTGGCTTTAGGCAGATATTTTTTTCTTTTTCTACAGTATTGATGATGGAACCCAGCACTGGAGTGTAGGCTAAACAAGCTCTCTACTATTAAGCTTAAATAAAGAGATTTATTTTCACTTTTTGTTGTGATAAAATGAAGCCTGAGGCAGTCCCATGCTGGCCAAATGCTTGCCCACTGGACTCTGCCCAGCCCAGTTTTGGAAGGGTCCTTCCCTGGGGAAGAAGCCGCCCCGTGGGTTGGAAAGCAGATCTTGCTTGTCTAAACGGTCCCTCGCAGAAAGGAAGCTGTTCATTTTCCCTCTGCTCTGTCACCCTGCAGAATGGCTTGACTCCCCTGCACGTAGCTGTCCATCACAACAACTTGGACATCGTCAAGCTCCTGCTCCCCCGAGGTGGCTCCCCGCACAGCCCTGCCTGGGTAAGGCTCCTAAACCAGCTCCTGTCTAAAGCAGTGGCTCTCAACCTTCCTAATGCCGTGACCCTTTGATACAGTTCTTCGTGCTGTGGCGACCCCCGGTCATAAAATTATTTTTGTTGCTACTTCATAACTGTAACTTTGCTACTGTTATGAATTGTAATTGTTAAATATCTGGTATGCAGGATATAGGATATGCGACCCCTGTGAATGGGTCATTCAACCCCTAAGGGGTCATGACCCACAAGTTGAGAACCTCAGAGGTTTTGTGTTGGACTCCATAAACACAGACATGTCACAACACCATTACAAATACTACCTGTAGGATCATTGCTGCTCTCTGAGGGCTCGTAGCCTGGGAAGTGGGTAATACTTTCCTGTCAGATGGTCTTTCACAACGGTGGAATTCAATTTACACACCACATGTCCCCCAACCCCACCAGCTACATGTCAACCGTGTTTTGTAAACGGATGGTCAAAGGTCTAGTGCATGAGCGTCTTCCTGGAGCCACAAGCCTTGTTCTCAGAGATTTCACTCGGTGGGACTGTGGCCCACTGGGGTGTCTCATTCTGGATCTGTTTCCAAGGTTCTGGTGCTGGGTGCAGTGGCCACACCTCTCTGGGCCTTGAAGCAAAGAGTCTAAGTGTGAGGGTCTCCCTAGTTTATTTCTATTTTTGAATATAGACACTGTGATGGGGGGATTTAACTCCTATGTGTTCTGCATTGGTTGCACATCTGGCTGCTGAAATACACTGCCAAGTATAGGACTCTGTGGCCAGGGAAGGGGGGAAAGCCAGAGGACAGAGGAGCCTTTGGGGGATCAGATTACCCCTGGGGTAAGGTGGGGTTTGTATCTGTGAGAGGCAAGAGAACACCAAGAGACTGGTCAGGAGCAGAGTCAGGGCCAGCATAAAAGAGACACCCGTGGTCCCTGCACCAGGTGCCCTGCCTTCTGACAGGACAGCCTGAGAATGATTTATAGCAGAATTCAGTCACACAGCAGGAGTTCCAGTGCCGCCCACCAAGGAGAGAGTCTTTCGGTGGGTCACTGTGGGCCTCGGCTGACACTTTCATCCATGGGGAGGGGGCCGAGTGACTTCAGCTTTGTTTCCTCTGGTCAGTATAAAGCTCACCTCAATTCACAGCATCCGTCTCCTGCAGACACAGCGTGCCTCAGGAAGCCCTTGTCTCCTCAGCCTTCGTCCCTACTCCTGTCTCCTGTGGTAGCGAGCCCTACATCATTGTGCAGAGGCAGCACACAGCCGGCTAAGATGTTGACTTACTCCGGCTTCTAAAAATAAGAAACCGGACTCCCCTCCTCCTCCTCCTCCTCCTCCTCCTCCTCCTCCTCCTCATTCCCACTTATATAAACGGAGCTGGAGCCAGGTTCATGATATTTAAAGAGAGCGAAAGGCAGCTCAAAGCCTGCACAGATGGGGTTTGTTTCCATGGCAAAAATAGTTTCCAAAGCAGTCTGGCAATTTTGTAGAATTTCACAGTAAATCCCTTTGCACCCAAACCAAACTCTCCCCTTCTCGGTCTGATGCGAACAGATTCCCTCCCGTGTGCATTCCTTCCCTGAGCTTATTTCCTCGGGAAAAGGAGCCTTTTACTGACATATATCCCTGTCTGACCTCTCCCTGGCGCTCTGACCTAGTTGCCATTTCTCCTTGTTACCCACAAAAGGTCATCGTTCCTTTAGTCCTGGTTTGGGGGACACTCTGATGGGTTGGTCCATGCTCTGAGATGGTCAGTGACTCATAGCTTCCATTTTAACCCAAGGTGACCTGGAAGATTTAGCCATCTCCAGGGCAAGCTTGTCCCTGACAAATCAGTGTCTGTTCATGACAGTGTGTTAGATACCCACAGCAGCCCGCGTGACCTGGGACTCCGGCTGTCCTATCCATGGATGCTCTGCAAATGTCTCCAATGACTGTGCCTTGGGGGTAAAGAAAAGCCCTAAAAAGCCTTGCTTTGCCCTAGTGAGTGGCTGTCCTTGTTTCACTAAGACATCTCAACCAGAAATGTTGGTGGTCCCTCAGGAAGACAATGAGTGGCAAGCAAAACCCCACAGACAGCTGGAGAGATGTTAGCCAATGTGAGAAAGCGTGTGTCCGGAGACAGTTGCACACAGGAACTGTCTGCTGTGTAGGCTGGGTGGACGTAGGTCCAGGAGGTCATAGGTCCTGTCTTCTGGCTTAGCAGTCCTTCACTCTGAATATTCCAGGGCCTGGCTACTCAAAGTATGGTTCTCGGATCAGCAACCTCAGCATCACCTGTCCTCAAGCCCTATCCAGACCTTCTGGGTCCAGTTCCACACTGAACAAGGTCTCAGGTGCTATGCACACACATCATAGTTCAAGAAGCCCACAGGTCCTAGAATCCACGGTCTGTTAAAGCAGATCACCTCTGAGCGAGAGCTTCCAAATAGGGAGTAATACAGATGCCTGTCTGCCTTGCTTTGAGTGGTCGGGGTAATGCTCCAGTAAGATCACAGTAAGAAACCATTTCTAACGAGGTCACCAACTGACCCTATTGCCTGTCCACTGTAGGATGAGGAGCTCATGCATCCTAAAAACCCAACCACTGACAATGATTTGCTACAAAAACAACATAAATGAATAAGATTTAAAGCCAGAAGTGTTATTATACCTGTGTTTCCAGCACTTGAGAGTTGGAGGCAGGAGAGCCTGCCTCAAGTTTGAGGCCTACTTGGGCTATATTGCATTTCCAGGCCAGCTTGGACTACAGAGTGAGAATAATTCAGGGTGACATGGTTAACTGGAAGGCCAACACTTGTTATCCTGTCTTGCCCAACAGTATATGGCAAAGCTACCACACACGGCTGCCCTGTTCTTGTGTCTTAATTTTGGAAAGCACTTCCTTGCGAGTACATAATTACATTTGATCCACCCAGAATTTTTTTTTTTTAGAAATAAACAAGGCAGATGTTTCCCCTACTTTTAATGATCTTTAAAAATACGAAAAGAAGTCATCTAGGTGGTGGAATACTGCCCTGGGTCGCTGATGGCTCAGAGGAGAATAGAACAGGCTAGCTCCTCCACATCCTTGAGTCCCCTGCCAGCAGGTCCAAAGAACGACACCAGGGCCCAACTGCGTCAGGAAAGGTTCCTTTTAGAAAAAGAACAGTAATACATCCTGAAGAGGAATTGTGAGCTTCTCGAGACCAGCCATTCTGTTGTTGTTGTTGTTGTTTGACAGGATTTCACTGACTGCCCTGGCTGATTCCAGGCTCACCCTTCCTCAGTCTCCAGAATTAGGATTATAAGTGTGTGCCGCTGTACGTGGTTCCATTTCTTTTCCATATGAAGCATTTGGGGCTTTGAGTCCTTACTGCCGGGGGGAGAGATGGGAAACTTTAACTCTTCCCTACCTCACCTTGAAGCTGGAATCTGAATTGTGCTTGGTAACATCGCGTCCTGCCTAGCAGCGCGTCTGAGAAAGATGGTTGGTCACAACCGATGGTGAGGAGGGCGCAGACGTTTGCCGGCTATTCAAGCCTCGCCTGCAGCTCTAGCTCCAACAGTAGCGTGTCTATTTGTCTATTCATTTAACACGCTTTCCTTGATGACAGCAGCCCTGCTCAGAGCCCATGTCCTCCTGTCATTGCCTTGGCTGTCGGGTGAAAGAGAACTCAGGTACCTTCTTCTGTTTCAGAACGGCTACACTCCTTTGCACATTGCTGCCAAGCAGAACCAGATAGAGGTGGCCTGGAGTCTGCTGCAGTATGGAGGGTCAGCAAATGCCGAGTCTGTGCAAGGCGTGACCCCGCTGCACCTTGCTGCCCAAGAGGGCCACACAGAAATGGTCGCTCTTCTCCTGTCAAAGCAAGCCAATGGCAACCTGGGAAATAAGGTAGGCCCCTCTGAGTCTACCCTACACCTTCAGTGAAGGTGTTAGCTTATGTGCTCACCCAGTGCTCTGCTTCTGCACGAGATGTGTGGGTGGGACGCTGATGACAGCATTCTGTGAGTTTTATCTCGGTGTCATACTGAATCCACAGCCGGCTGGTAAGGCTGTGACACCCCAAGCCTCTGTACCCTTCCTGTGTCAGACTACCTTGCCGTACTCCTCTGAGGATCTACAAGAAGACCACCATGAAAACCCAAAATGTGCTTGCCCCAGTGTGGGCCAGCATCGACATTCGGGAGTGCATTGCATAGTTTGGTACTGCATGTCTACTCTCTGTGGTAGAAAGTACGTTTGTTGTGGTGTCGTCCATCTCCTCTGGTTCTTCTAATCCTTCCCATGTAAAAAGCCAGACCTGGTAGCATGTGATAATAGTCCCAGTGTTGCTGGGGTAACAGAGACAGGGGGAACACTGAAGCCCACTGACCAGCTAGCGGAGAGCTGTTTCCAGTGAGAGACCTTGTCTCAAAGATAAGGTGCGGAGCTCCTACATCTGACACCAAGGTTGACCACTGATGCGCCAGACGTCCCCATGTACGTGTCCATCTACACACAAGCACAAAGCGGGTCTCGATCGTGCTTGATCCCATTGATAAAGTGTGTCTAGGACAGACAAATTCACAGAGACCGATTAGTGGTTGTTAGGGATTGGAGTGCCCAGGGAATGGGAAATGGCTGATGATGGAGATGGCGTTTCCGTTGTGGGAGATGACAGCGTTCTAACGTGAGACGGCCTGATGGTTTCCCAAGTCCCTACAGGCTACAAATCATGAAGTTTTATAGCTTAAAGGGCAAATTTCATGAAAATTATATGTCAATGAGACTGCTATTTAAAGAGAAGCAATACTGATCTTCCTTAGGTCATGAACTGTTGCTAAAGTTTTCCTGCCTAGCCCACAGCCAGGACAAATCTCTCTCACCTGCCAGTCCCACAGCCACTCAGACCCAACCAAGTAAACACAGAGACTTATATTGGTTACAAACTGTATGGCCATGGCAGGCTTCTTGCTAACTGTTCTTTCAGCTTAAATTAATCCATTTCTATTAATCTATACCTTGCCACATGGCTCGTGGCTTACCGGCATCTTCACATGCTGTTTGTCATCGTGGCAGCTGGCAGTGTCTCTCTGACTCAGCCTTCCACTTCCCAGCTTTATTCTCCTCCTTGTCCCGCCTACACTTCCTGCCTATCCAATGGCCAATCAGTGTTTTATTTATTGACCAATCAGCAACACATTTGACATACAGACCATCCCACAGCAATGAACTCTTTTGAGAGGCCGAGGAAGACTGTGAACAACTCACCCAGAAAAGATACCTTTGTGTCCATCCTTGTAGGCAGTTTAAAGTTCAAAAAGTTTAAAAGTAAAAGTTTAAAATGCCTCACACCCATACATCTCCTGATCCCGGGTTGCGAGCTCCTTGTCTGGTATATAAGTCACCACTGAAAAAACTATATTCCTGAATGCAGATGCTGCTCTAGATTGGGGTCCATGTAGTCATGCCCTTACACTTCCATGACAAACTTTGTTGATGGAGTCACTACCCAGCAGCCACCTCTTTAGAGGATAAATTAGCCTAAGAATTTCAGGAAGGCAAGTGTGTTGCAGGTAAATTTGGAATTTCCTAAAGCACTCTGGAGGCACTGTGTTTTTGTCTGTTTGTTTGTTTGTTTTTCATAGAGTTCCTCTCCCATCTAACTTGGACCTGTTCTGCCTCTGCATATGCTCCCAATGTCTCTATGAGTTCATTGTGTGTGTCAGTTCTGTTGTGTCTGGAGACACCGTTTCCTTGGAGTCAGCCATCCCCTCTGGCTTTCACAATCATTTAGCACCCTCTTCCACATGGTTCCCTGAGCCCTGAGGGGAAGGGGTCTATGAAGACATCCCATTCGGGACTAAGTGTTCCAAAGTCTCTCGCTCTCTGCACATTGTCCAGTTGTGCGTCTCTGTATCAGTTCCCCTCTGCTGTAGGAGTAAACTTCTCTGATGATGGCTGTGCAAGACACTGATCTATGTGTATAGCAGAATGTCACTAAGGATCATTTTATTGCTATGGTCCTTTGTTTTCCTTAGGCCCGTGGCCTATCTAGTCTCAGGTTCTTGGCCGCTCAAGAAGTATCAGACATGAGTTCCGTCTCATGAAATGGGCCTTAAATCTAAACAGGAAGTGGTTGGTTAACCCCACAACATTTGTGCCACCACTGAGCCAGCCTATCAGGCAGGTCAGGCCATCATCGAAGATCACAGGGTTTGTAGCTTGGTTGGCATTTACCCTTCTCCTCTGATGGCATGCAGAGTGTCTTCTAGTCCCCTGAATACCAGCAGCAGAGGTGAAGGCTCTAGGTAGGCACCAGCCTGACTTCGTGTTCAACGAGGTAGGTAGGTGTTGTCCTCAGTAATGGGACTTTACCATTAGCTTGCAAAGAGGAGCCAATAGCTTTGGCAATAGCCTGAGTTGTTTGGGGGGCTACATAGAGCCTCAACTAGATGTAACCCATTCCTGGCACTGGAGTTTCACTTGTGGTGAAAGGTATCTAGTTGGGGCTTTGCCTCCCCCATTTAGATTTCTTTCATATATATATAAAAGCTTTTATTATAGTAGGTTTCCATATAACCCCTCAAGTAGCCCTTAGTGTTAGCTGTCCTTCCCTGTATTCCCTCCATACCCCACTCTCTCCTCCCCCTCTATTTAAAACTCCCATCCCAGTCTGCCCCCGACTCTCCATAATTATTTGTTCTTTTTTCCTTTTCTTGGGAGATCCTCCCTGCTCCCTGGGTCCTCACTCCACACCTAACCTCTGTGGTTGTACAGATTGTAGCATGGCTATTGAAGGCTTAAACACTAACATGCACGTATAAAAGAATATATACCATATTTGTCTTTTGAGGTCTGGGTTACTTCATTCAGGATGATTTTTTTTCTAACTCCATCCACTTACTTGTGAATTCCATGATTTCAATTTTTTTTAATAGCTGAATAATATTCCATTGTGTAGAGGTATCACATTTTCATTACCCATTCATCTGTTTGGATATCTGGGCTGTTTTCTAATTTCTGGCTATTATGAGTAGAGTGGCAATGAATATGGTTGACTAACATCCTCTATAGTAGGATGAAGTGTTCTCTGGGTATATGGCCAAGGATGGAGAGCTGGATTTTCAGGTATATTTACTCCCAGTTTCCCGAGGAACTGCCACACTGATTTCCATAGTGGCTGTACATGTTTGCATTCCCAGCAGCAATGGAGGAGTGTTCGCCTTATGCCACATCCTCATCAGCATGATTTGTTTTATGGATCTTGGCCATTTTGACAGGTGTAAGATGAAATCTCAAAGTAGTTTTGATTTGCATTTCCCTGATGTCTAGGAATGTTGAGCCATAACCCTAACCCTAAATGTTTCTCAGCCATTTGTGTTTCGTCTATGTGAACTTTATTTAGTTCTGTACCCCAATTTTAAATTGGGTTATTTGTTTTCTTGGTGTTCAGAGTTTTTTCTTTTAGTTCTTTGTCCTTTTATTTCTTTAGTTCTAATATCTATATTTTAGATATTAACCTTGTATCCGATGTATTATTAGTTAAGATCTTTTCCCATTATGTAGCCTGCAAATTCTCAGGGGTTAAACACAGGAATAAATAATCCCAGACCAGCAAATCAAGAGAAGGTTGGGGGACCCACATCATAACAATAAAATAACAGGAATCAATACGCACTGCTCATTAATAACTCTCAATATTAATGATCTCAACTTACCAATTAAGAGAAAAAAAACAGATTAGATTAGATTAGATTAGGAAACAGAATCCAGACCTTGGGCAGCCTAAGGAAGTGAAGTTATTTGATGAGGAACCAGAGTTGGGCTTTTATATTCAGCATAAGAAGTAAAGGGAAAGAGGCTTTCCCAACAGATTTTGTGCAAATTCCCACATAGCAATCAACACCTTGACATATCACTATTCTCATGAGAAAGCTGATGAGAAGTCCGAGAATGTGGTCCTTTCACTCCCAAAGGGGTCCCCACCCTCACAGTGCCGTGGGCTGCGGAGCAGTGGTAGCGCATGCTCAGAAGTTACAGAGTGATTTTACGTGGATGGCACTGTCTCAGATGCCCCCTGCTTTGCCCTTGAGATAAGTGGGCGGTAGCCTGTATCTTCTAGAATAAGAGCCCAAGGCAGCAAAGTTTGCCGTGGAAATGACAATCACTACAATTGAAAGTCTTCGTTGAGTGAATCTGTTGTCTGTGGGCCAGCCCAAGCCCACTGCTTAGTGCTCTAAGGCTTTATTGGAACTCGGCCATGCCTGGTGGTTTCCCTGCTGGCTGGAACTGCTTGTTACCAGGATTGGCAAAGTGACAGAGACACAGGTCTCATAAATTAGTGGTCGGGCCCGTAACAGAAAAAGCTGCCTGATCCTTCCCTACGTTAGTCGCCTGACATTCAGATGAGGACATGGAGGCCCAGAATAGGAAGATTTTTGCCAGATGACCAGTCAGATAGCCAATTTGGTGCTGCATAGGCTTGGGGCTTTCAAGCCTCACGGTTCTATCACTATAGCCTGGGATTCTGCCATGACTCAAAGTTGATGTACATCTGTTTCTTTTTAGAGTGGACTCACTCCTCTCCACCTGGTAGCACAAGAAGGCCATGTTCCAGTGGCAGACGTGCTGATCAAACATGGTGTCACAGTGGATGCTACCACCCGGGTAAGGCAGGCCACCCTATGCCTGCATCTGTCATGGCTCCCTCCCTTAGCTGCGTGCTCTGTCCGATCCACCCCGATGTACGCCCTCACACCTTAGAACATCACAGGGGCACTCCCTCAGAATTGTCTCCTTCATGGACACAAAACCTGAGGATCAACACTTTTCTGCCTTTTCCTGAGACTGGTAAGGAGTCTGGAGACACGGGCATTCATGGCCACTCGTTATATCCGGGAATTTTTTAAAGTTTGCTAGACCTTTGAGTTTTTCCTAAGAACTTGGAATGGGTGTTTACACATGATGTTAAATCCTGTCTCATATGTGTAGTAAGCATGTAGAGGGTAGCCAGGCTTCCTCTGTGTCACTAGGAAGTACAGCCCCTTTCACGCCAGGATTATGTTAAATGGAGTTGGGCTTTCTCTCAGGTTCTCTGTGTCAAAGAGTCCTGTGTTGCGGTGTAAGGGTGAGTGTGTGCATGGTGCACAGCACACTGCTCTGGGTGTTTGCAGTGTGGGGACATGACTGCAGTGACAGGAAGGAGCTGTAAAATGTGACATCTAGACTAAGAAGCTGGCAGCCTAGAGGGAGAAAAGAGCACCCCCAGCTGGTGGGAGAAGGGACTGCATGGAAGAGGAACACCCTCGTTCCTTTTGTGGCCTTAAGTGGAAGGGACAAAGGGTTGAGGATGTAACTCAGGGTAGAGAGTTTGCCTAGCCATGTGCCAGGCCCTGGGTTCTGCCCCCAGCACTGAAAAACCCCAAAGAAGGAACAGAGTGATACCACCAGCAACACACACACACACACGCACGCACGCACGCACGCACACATGCACCCCAGTTCCATAGATGCTCTAGCCATGATGTTGTGCTGAAGACATCCCCAAGAAGAACTTCCCACAGCTTCAGCAAGAATCTCTTTAAAAGCCCAAGAATATCCTTATCCTAGTTCAGTCTTTTGGGGTCCTTCCCTGAAAAACCCTGTTCTGTAGATTAGGCTGCCTCATAGATAGACATAGACAAAGCCACATCAGGACATGAGGGTCTGACCCATAGGGTCTGTGTTAAGAGGGCCTCTGGAATCTTCAGCTAGCTCCCTAAGGACATGTGTGACCAAAGAGGGGCTGGCTTGTCAGCCATTTGGGCATAACACCAATCAGTGGGAGCTGGGGCAGAGTTTGAACATGGAGGACGTGGAGCACCTGCTGGTATGTGGGAGACCTCGTTCATCCCTACCAAAAATAAACAAGTAAAAATCAACAGGATAGATTCTTTGGAAATTTAGCACGGCAGCCCACAGTCACATGAATAACCATGGTCCATCACTTTAGACCTTGGTCACTTCCCATAAACTCTAGTAACGCAGCTAGCATCTGGATGCTTACAGTAGGGCTCCACCCCTCTAGTAGAAGAAATGAGGCTGCTGTTGTGAATGTCAGCGTTGACAGTACGTGGCTGTCTGTCCTTCCAGAGCTCCTCCTAGCACAGACCCGACAGCCCCTCCTTCTAAGAAGAACGCTTCTCGAATCCTGGTGCAGCTCTCTCCGATCACCCGCAAGCCTTTCCAAGTGCTGCCACAGACATTTGTCCCCACTCTGCCCCCCCTCTGCTTCATGTCAGCTGCCCTTGCTCATCCTCAAGGCTAGCAGTTTTCAGCCTAGCCCTCTCTCCCAGGTTCATGTCAGCCTTCCGACTGCCTGCTTGATGACTTCGGTAGCATCTCAACTTTCCCTTGTCTGACACCAGATCCTGTCCCTTCTCTAACCAGCATCAGCACCACGTCTCACAGCAGCCCTCGCCCTTCCCCAGAGCTTTCTCCCCCTCCCTGAAGCAGCTGCTTCTGTAAGGATTCCACTGAAGCGTGGCTCTGCTGGTGCTCGGCGGAGCCCCGATGACTTCCCACCCACACTCATTCCTTGCCTTTCAGATGGGTTACACCCCGCTCCACGTGGCCAGTCATTATGGAAACATCAAGCTGGTGAAGTTTTTGCTACAGCACCAGGCAGATGTCAATGCCAAGACCAAGGTACAGGGGCACCTTACATCCAATCCCCACGCTGACAGCTCCTAGGCACTCGCTTAGGAGGCAACCAGAGCCACTCCAGGCCCTGATTCAGTCCTGAGCTTTGAACCTAAAGAAGGAAGTGGGGGAGGGGAGCAGTTTTAGTAGATGGACTCTGGAGTTTGTATGCAGTTCTTCCCCCCAACGGCTCACTGATCCTGCCAAATGTCTGCCTTATTTCATAGCTAGGATACGGCCCCTTGCACCAAGCAGCTCAGCAAGGCCACACAGACATTGTGACGCTGCTCCTCAAGAATGGTGCTTCTCCGAACGAGGTCAGCTCGGTGAGTACCTGTCTGGTCCCATTTCACACAGCAAGGGGAGCATCCCTAACCATATAGTTTGCTGACACTCTGGAGTCTGGGGAGAGCTACGCACCATAATGTAGCTGCCTTGTGTACTCCAGACATTGGAATATGATTCCTTTTGGTCACTGGAGAGTGACCTTCACCAGCAGCATGCCTCCTCTGCTCTGGCTTGTAACTGTTCCTGCTGACACACCTTCTGCTGTGTTTGAAGCTACCTTCATGAAGTATGGCACGAGTAGGCAAAACTAAGTGCTTTGGACCTGGAAAGACATCCCTAGCAGCCTTGGCGATTGTGGTTCGGGATGGATTTCCTGTCCTGACCGTGGGGTTGGTAGGATTAACCTGCAGGGCTGTTCCCAACTCAGAAAGCTGTGGACCCTTGACTGCAGATGTTTGCTGAGGGTGTAACTGCAGCTGGGCTGACGTCATGTGGAGCCCGGGCACAGTCTGCAAGCAGAAAAGGACCTTCAAAGATAAAAGCTTCAGTGCCTTGCGGTTCTCACCTAACCCTTTCCCTTAAGATCAAAACATTAAAGTGTCCCTATCCCATTTGGGGAATTTGTGAATCGGACAGCTCTAATTAGTGAACTGAAAGGTTCAGGATTGCTGTTAACTATCATCACACGCAGTTACTGACAGCTGAGGAGGGGTATGGGAGCATTGCCCTGCTGCTAACCGGTTCCTCCCAGCAGTGCTTGACTGCCTTGGGAGACTTGGCTCTGTTCTCATGTCAAGACCATATGCTTAACACCCAGGGCTTACAGTGTGTCCTGCTCACCTTCCTGTCTTCTCTCATCTTTGTGGCCTCCAGGGTCACATACTTGTACACAGATCTCGGCTCCAAGGCCCAGTCTGTCCACTTGGGCCCTTCTGAAGAATCCAAGCAAACCTGGTCTGTGTACAAGAGGCAGACTCTCTCCTCTGACTCCCTGTCGGCTTTTCCTCTGTCCTAGAACGGAACCACACCTCTGGCAATAGCCAAGCGTTTGGGCTATATCTCTGTAACAGACGTGCTCAAGGTGGTCACGGATGAAACCAGTGTAGTGGTATGTCTGCCCCTCCCCTGAGGCACCCCAACCCCAACTCCAGCTACAGCCATGGGTCCTGAGGGTTACCGCCCAAAGCCAATGCCTCCCATCTGGTAGGCACTACTAGCTACAGGTGGGGCAATACTGCCACCTGGTGACCAAAGAATTGGATGGGGCTTGAGGAAGGGGTGAGGTGTAGGGCAGGCAGTCTGAGGTCTGGCATTATCCTGCCTATGGTACCCGCCAGGCTTCAGCTTCCAGATCATACACCTCCTGGCTTTCTTTGGCGGCACATCTTTCCATCTCCTTTCCTGGCTGCTTATCTGGGGCAGCCGCTGAACTGAAGCAAAGATACCCTGTTCCGTGTGGGTCCGACCCCTGCCCTTTCTCCTTTCAGTTAGTCAGCGACAAACATCGGATGAGCTACCCTGAGACCGTGGATGAGATCCTGGATGTGTCTGAAGATGAAGGTAAAAACCTTTGGTGATGAATTCAGGCTCCATCCTCTCAGGCTTCCCTCGGAGTCCCTCAGAACAGATCCAGGCTGTCCATACAAGCACACACTGAAACTGGGGAGACCCGCTTCCTACAAATATTGTCTATTGACAGAACAACTCTTTTCAGAGGATCCCAGGTGAAGGAAAAATTGAGGACTTAGAGGTTAATATTTTAGCTCTCAAGTCTTTATGTGGGAGTTAGAACGGATGGGTCTACTCAAGGCAGCTCTGAGAGCTGGCGGCAGCTGCGGCAACATCTGGCTACTGCTCTCCTCCACAAACGATAAGGCTGGCTGTTTAAAAAGAGGATGCATCCTGGTCAGCTGCCCTTCGGACAGTGTGGTGGACAGAAAGTCTGGAGTCTCTCGTTGTCATTGGGGGATTGAGGTTTCAACTTCCCAATCTCCAGGGTATCTTCCCCTTCCCCCTTCCCCAAGTAAGCCCTACTTCCTCACAGAATTGAGAGAATGCATGCAGGATAGCAGGGATGGGCTTGCTCTCTGGCCCCTTCGGTCTGGAATTCATTGTTGGGATGACTGTCAGCTAGACATCTCCAGCACATGCGCCCTTAACGACATGCCTCTCGCTTTACTGGGTCCTGATGCTCTCACCCCTTCAACTTGGCTCTTCTTTACCTTCCAGGAACTGCTCAGATAACTATAATGGGTATGAAATGCTTTCTGTTCCCTGTGGTCTTTCTCACCAGAGCACATCCCACCATAAGCACACGAGTCCTCACTAACCCATGCCTGCTTCTCATCCTCCGTGGCCCCATGCAGGGCCCGGAGCTGACTAAACAGGACATGCACACCATGAAACCACCTCTGTATCTGTGCCCATGCCACCGTGTCTGTGCTCATCCTGCATGAACAGTTACACTTCCATGCTGTCGGCTCCAGGTCATAGGGCCAGGCTCCTCCTGCAGGGTGATAGGCATGGGGGGCCCAGAGCCCAGGCTGCTAGTCCAGTCAGGCCAAGAAGATGGGGGAGGGGTGCAGGTTGCTGATTTAGGTACAGGGAGCTAGATCCTCTTTATGAGATTTGGAATTACAAATAAAAATTCCAGGATGAGGAGTTATTAAGGTATAAAATAGTAAATAAATAAAGGGGTTTCGATAACAAAAGGATGCTATAGCCTTGAGTGAATAGGTTTGAGCACAGTACTGTTTACTCCTCTATAATGGTAGACTAGAAATATCTGTAACCTAAGCTGGGTGTGGTGGCTCATGCTTTTAATCCCAGCATTCAGGAGGCAGAGACAGGTGGATCCTTGAGTTCAAGGCCAGCCTGGTCTACAAAGCAAGTTCCAGGACAGCCAGAGCTACACAGAGAAACCCTGTCTCAAAAAAGAAAGAAAGAAAGAAAGAAAGAAAGAAAGAAGGAAGGAAGGAAGGAAGGAAGGAAGGAAGGAAGGAAGGAAGGAAGGAAGGAAGGAAGGAATATCTGTAACTGTGACTCTTTATGATGCCATTTTAACCTCTGAAAGAGCTATTGTGTATTGGGGAACTCATCAAACAAAAACCTTCTTTCTGGCTGTGTTGGTTTCCAGCCTACAAAGCTGGGGGGAGGCAGAGGGACTAGAAACTGGCCCACCCTGGGCTCTAGTGCTGGAAGAACAGGCCTGGGAATTCCCATGGCTAACAGACCCCTTGGGGCATCAGAAACCAAAACTGCCCTCCGCTTTTGAGTAGACATTGAGAAGGGGACTGTGAAAAGTGCTCGTTAGGAACCAAAAAGTGATTTGTCTCCAGCCTGCCACTCACTTGAGCTCCTGGTTTTCAGGTGAAGAACTTGTCGGCTCCAAGGCTGAGAGGCGGGACTCCCGGGATGTGGGTGAGGAGAAAGAGCTGTTGGATTTTGTGCCGAAGCTAGACCAAGTGTAAGATGGGTTCAGTGTGGGTGGGAGGATCGTGCTGTGGATATCCAGGTGCAGCTCTAGGGTTCAGAGTAGAGAGGTAGATGAAAGCCAGGCCAGGGATGTGCCTAGGGAAGGAGAGGGTTCAAGGTGCAGGGGGGACATGGGTCAGTTTGTGGATAAGAGAGTCATTTTATCATATGCGATGAGGTGAGGGGTGAGCAAGTCAGGTCATTACAGATGGACTGAGGTTTGTCACTTAGGTCTCTCAGGAATGATGGAGGGGTCTGCTTCAAATATTCTGCTCTTTGATTGTCTAATGTTCCTGGCTCACAGGGTGGAATCTCCAGCCATTCCAAGGATCCCTTGTGTCACACCTGAGACTGTGGTCATCCGATCTGAAGACCCAGAACAGGTAAGGAACTCTTGGTCTCTTCCGTCACAGAGAGTGAGGACATTCCATGATTGTGTTTCTATGACCTGGGGACAATAGGAGCTAAAGTAGAGAGGCTCACACCTTCAAACCCATGATTCCCTGTGTTCTGTAGAGCCCAGTACGGTTGGCGTACTCATTGTGCCTTCTATGAGTTCCAGGAGCCTCAGAGGGCTCCGAGTATGAGAAACATCGTCATAATATGCCAGGAAGATGTTCAGGCCATGTTCAGTTGTGGGACCAGGAAGGAAGCCTTCCCCCTGTGATGCACATCAGCTTCCTCTCTCTTGAGAAGGGCTAACTGTGCCCCTCCTCATCTTCCCCCATTTGATAATGGGAGCCAGAGACCCCAACACTGACAGAAAAATGTCGGAGCACTGTTGTTGATGTAACCGTTGTTCATGGCAGTACCCTGGTTTGGGCCTTCCTAGCCTTCCACTGGAATTCGTCCAAAAAGGTAGATAGAGCTGGAGGATGAGACTGATTTCAAATAGTTTAATCTCTTCCATTAAAGATTAGGCTATTGGCACTTTCCTCCAGAGCAAGAACATTTCCCAGGGAGATGAGAGAGTTGATGTGGTGTTGAAGGCTGGCCATGTCTGCCCTCAGTCCTGACAGCCGAGGTGGGCTGAATCCCCTCCCTCCTCCACAAAGGGATATGAGTCTGAAAATATGCTGGGGTGTCAGCACCATACAGCATTGGTGGTGTTGTGCATTTGAGAGACAATCCGATGGGACCCTTGTACCACTCTGACACTGTCCCTGGATGCTGTCAAAGCAACAGGAACAAGCCCAGGGGACCTGAGTGAGTCTTGTCCTGTAACCAATCCATTCTCTTCACCACCCCTCAACACACACACACACACAACACACACACACACACACACACACACACACACACACACACACACACACACGGAGAGAACCCAGGGGTTTGTACTTGCTAAGCAGAAGCCCGACAGCTCTTTCCAAGTCTTTGCTTAAGTTAAAAATCCAGTCAGAGGCACACACTGCATTTCTACTAATTGCCCGTCTAGGGCTCCGTGTAAAGGGTTGGGTTCAGTTGTCTCCTGTGAGCTGCTCTCATCTCTGGGTGTGGACTTAGAGACATGGGTTTTTGTGAGGCAGCAAATAGTCTCCTCCCACCAGTGAGGGATGGGAAGCCCCGCAGAGGCTGATGGGTTCTCCTCACAGAGCCCTCCCCCACACAGTGCCAATAGGGCAAGTCGCCCTGAGGTGACGGTGCAAGGCCTAGAACCAGCTCTGGAGAGGAAAGCATGGGGAATGGCAGAGAGAAGGGCGGACGGGTGAGCTGTATATGCACCAAGCAGAGGACAGCAAGCAAGGAGAGACCCTGAGGGGGAAGCCATGTTCCTGTAGGGTCAGAGTTCATTTCATGGAAGCGGTTTCTTCTAGCTGCACTGCAGGACGTGGGCACATGTTTGGGTATCCTCGGGGTGAGATAAGAGACAGGAGGCCCTTTTCTCTTCTGCAGGGATCTAAAGAGTATGATGAGGACTCGCTAATCCCCAGTAGCCCAGCCACAGAGACCTCAGACAACATTAGCCCCGTGGCCAGCCCCGTCCACACAGGGTGAGTGTTACGCAAATCTGGGACCCACTTTTCCCGTCCTTGAGAAGGAAGCCAGTCCTGTCATGATCTACCTGTGCGTCTAGGTTCCTGGTGAGCTTCATGGTTGATGCCCGGGGAGGATCCATGAGAGGGAGTCGTCATAATGGCTTGAGGGTGGTGATCCCTCCCCGGACATGCGCAGCACCCACACGTATCACCTGCCGCTTGGTCAAGCCTCAGAAGCTGAACACGCCACCCCCACTGGGTGAGGAAGAGGGCCTAGCCAGCAGGATCATTGCGTTGGGACCTACAGGGGCCCAGTTCCTTAGGTGAGATATGCCCTCGTGGGGAATGTGTGCAACTTGTGTCTCCAACCAATTCCCACCACTTCAGCTGAGACTGAAGGATCCCCACCCCCGCCCAGGCAGCGCCCGGCATCTCATTGCTGTGGTGACAGACAGGCTTTCCTGGCCCTCTCAGGCCCATGGAGCAGTTTATGGCTCTAGAGGAGCCCACTACTCTCAAAAGTGCTAGGATGCAAAGGAAGAGAATAGAGAAAAATTGGCTATTTGGGGGCATAGGGTTTATTTAGGTAAATACCAGAGTGCTCATCTGGAAGGTGTTCCCCACAGAGGGTCCCCAAGACCCTCCAGAGGAGTGAAATGCACTCTGGTCACTGGAGCTCTGCTGTCCACCCAGAACAGTAAGAGAGGCTTTAGCCTCAGTGACCCAGGGCAGCTCTGTTCCTCCACAGCCCTGGCCCGTAGACCCTTCTCCCTGCGGGCTGTGAGCAGGGCTCGCTGCCGTCCCCTTTGTGGCCGGCCATCTGGCCTCCCCTAGAACACCCTCCTACCGCTTGCTGTGTTCTACCTTAGCCCCGTGATTGTGGAAATCCCCCATTTCGCCTCGCATGGCCGTGGGGACCGTGAACTGGTGGTTCTGAGGAGTGAAAATGGCTCTGTGTGGAAAGAGCACAAGAGCCGTTACGGAGAAAGCTACCTGGACCAGATCCTTAACGGCATGGACGAAGGTGAAGGGGCCCTAGAGTTCTGGGAAGATGGGATCTGGGGTTGCACACTCGGGGTGCTCTGTCAGCACTGCCTGGGCTTGGGGAGGCTGAGAGAGGCTGGAAATGGTCCCTATGACCAAGTGCTGGATCCCCAGGACATGTGGGTGGGCATAGTGCCCCCCACCCATGCCCAGCGCCTCTTCCACTGGGCCCAGACACTCCTCCTTCCAGACCACCTCCCTGCCAAGCCCCTCGGGAGGGTGTGGGTCCAGGATGTGGAGGCCCTAGAGCCACAGTCATAGCTCATCCTGAGGCAACTTGTGGTTCCAGAGCTGGGGAGCTTGGAGGAGCTGGAGAAGAAACGCGTGTGCCGTATCATCACCACCGACTTCCCCCTGTACTTCGTGATCATGTCCCGGCTCTGCCAGGACTACGACACCATCGGTCCTGAAGGGGGCTCCCTGAAGAGCCGGCTGGTGCCCCTGGTACAGGCAACGTTCCCCGAAAACGCTGTCACCAAGAAAGTGAAGCTGGCTCTGCAGGTGACGGGCTCGGGGTCCCTTCCTTGCCAGTTCCTCGGGCGGGCGACATGGGAGCCAGGCTCTAGAGAAGACTCGCCCCCCCCTCCACGAGGACAGTCCCACACTTTGGTCTGGGAAATCTGAGCTGGGGGAACTCTGGGAGGGAGAGGGTGAACAGATGTTTCCCGAAGAGTAGACAGCCCAGTGTGGCCACTGAGTGTGGCCAGCTGTGTCCCCTTAGGGAGGATTCCACAGGAGGCCCGAGGTGGGCCAAAGTGCTGAGGAAAAGCATGGAAATGGGAGACAGAAGGAAAGGTCCAGAAAGACACTAAGCCGTGGGGTCAGGCCTAGGTGGACACCATTCCCATCCAAGTGTATGGGGTGGGGGGTTGGGGGTGGCGTCACCTCCTCACCTGAACTCTGAGGGTACCTGGCTGACCCTATCTGACTTGCCCGGGGCTGAGCCTTCTGTCTTGGGCACTTCGCAGGCACAGCCTGTCCCAGACGAGCTGGTGACCAAGCTCCTAGGTAACCAGGCCACGTTCAGCCCCATTGTCACCGTTGAGCCAAGGCGCCGGAAATTCCACCGTCCCATTGGGCTTCGAATCCCGCTCCCTCCCTCCTGGACTGACAACCCCAGGGACAGTGGGGAGGGGGACACCACCAGCCTGCGCCTACTGTGCAGCGTCATCGGTGAGTGATGCTCCTGGCGCCCGCTTCCTTGGCAGCAGCTGGTTTGGGGCACACCCGGGCTGGTGCAAAGATAAAGCCAGCAACTACCTTAGGCTCTTACAGCTTCCCGGGGGGATGAGAGAAAAAATGACCTGAGTATAAGTCTATATGATCTGAGGACAAGTCCTCAGGACAGCATGGGGACAGGAGTGCTCAGGTTTTGCGGACTAAGGGTCACCCAGGTTGTACCACTTCTGTCCTAGCGCATTGGTAAGCTTCAATGCCTGTGAAGGGAAAGTAGCCCCCCAGCCCTGTTCTGCCGCTCTTGTAGGTGGAACTGACCAAGCCCAGTGGGAAGATATAACGGGAACAACCAAGCTTGTGTATGCCAACGAGTGTGCCAACTTTACCACCAATGTCTCGGCCAGGTGAGACTCGGCCCTACCTCGCCCAGCGTGGTGGCTGCAGGGAGCCACCCCGACGGCCTGGCCTGCTCTCCCAGGCTTGGGGTTCCTTCTCTGCTGCTCCACCCCCTCCACCCCCACGCCCCCGCCAGACGCTGCTGCGTGGCCACGCTCGCCACTCGCCGTCCGTCTCCTTTTAGGTTTTGGCTCTCAGACTGCCCTCGGACCGCGGAGGCTGTAAACTTCGCCACTCTGTTGTACAAAGAGCTCACCGCGGTCCCCTACATGGCCAAGTTTGTCATCTTTGCCAAGATGAATGACCCCCGGGAAGGACGGCTACGCTGCTACTGCATGACGGACGACAAAGTGGACAAGACCCTGGAGCAGCACGAGAACTTCGTGGAGGTGGCACGGAGCAGGGACATAGAGGTGGGGCTCCGGGTCCCCTCACAGCGGCCGCTGCACACAAGGAAATAAAGCCCTGGGTTAAGGGGGCTTTCATGGCTGGCTTCTGGGACACGATGGGCAGGCCAGGCCAGGAGTCCTCCCTCTGAAGTTACAGGGACCGTCAGACCGCATTGCTTCAGCTCCTCTCCCAAGCATCATCCTAGATAAGTTCTGACAGACACCGCAGGCATCTCAGGGACTTGTAGCGTAAGAATCGGCTCTTGCTGAAGTTCGTATGAATCTGGCACAATTGAAAGTAATTTGCGAGGCTGGAGAGCTGGCTCAACAGTGAGGAGCACTTTACTGCTCTCGCGGAGGACCCGGGTTCGGATCCCAGCACCCACATCAGACAGCTCACAACCACCTGTAACTCTAGTTCCAAGAGATCCAGTGCCCTCTTCTGGTCTCTGTGGGTACCTGCATGTGCACAGACACACACACACACACACACACACACACACACACACACACACACACACACACACATACACACACACACACACACACAATTTTTTGAAATCCTTCTTTCTTAAAGTACCTTACTTATAAGATAGGGTTTGGCTCTCTTAGCTGTGGGCACCTTGGTTACCCCAGTGTACACACTGGGGAGCCAAGACTGGGAGAGAGAGGGTTAAAGTCACCCTCAAGCTGCAGAGACAGCAGCTGTAGGATTTGACCCAAACTCCCTGCTTCTACCAGCAACCCTGGGGTGGGGCAGCATCTAGGAAAGCAGGGGCCATGTGGATAAATAGAAGAGAGGATGGGAACTGGATTTGAACTTATTACCATCTGAAGACTCTCTCCCATGTTTATACAATAAGCTAGGGACTGTCTGTGGGTCTGGCCTCTGAATCTTAGCTGGACTTACCTGGGAAAGCAGATGCCTTAAGAGTTTCTATTGCTGTGATTAAACACCATGACCCAAAGCAACTTGGGGAGGAAAGAGTTTATTTCAGGTTACAGTTTATCACTATATCACAGTCTATCGTGGAAGGAAGTCAGGGCAAGACCTTAGCCGGGAACTTAGAGGCAGGAACTGAAGCAGAGGCCATGGAGGAATGCCACTTACTGACTTGCTCCTCATGGTTTGCTCAGCCTGCGTTTATACACAACCCAGGACCACCTTGCCCAGGACTGGCACTGCCCATAGTGAGCTGGGCTCTCTCACGTCAATCAGCAATCAAGAAAATGCCCTGCAGGTTTGCCCACAGGCTTTCCTTAATAGAGGTTGCCTCCTCTCACGTGACTCTAGCTTGTATCAAAAACAAAACAAAACAAAACCAACAACAACAACAAAAAAAACTAACCAGGAGAGCTGGCTTGGTGGCTTAGTATCAGAAATACAGGGCTAAGACTTAGGCGTGCCTGGTTCTGATGCAGCCCTGGCACTCACTGGTCAAAGTACTTTCTGTCTACAGGACTCAGTTTCCCCAGCTGTCAGATATAAACACGAGAACATCTCAGTTGAAGCTGTTGTGCACATAGAAGGAATCCTGAGGTGTGAGAAGTATTTGTCGCCTTTTGAGCACACCTCACGAACAAAACATCTTCAGATAGACTTAAGACTATAGACCAGGGCTTTTTCAGGAGACGTGCTCTGCCGTCCTGACAGGCCGCTGAGTTCTTGGGAACATATTCATTACAAGTCTACACCAAGGGAGCACGACTCCTTTGTGACACATTTCCCTAAACGAACAGCGAGGCTTCTCATAACCCACCCCCTGTGTGAGGGATGGTTTAGGGGAAATCACAGAAACTTACAGGCATTTCTATACGAGCTCAGCATGCTTTTCTCTTCCTGTAGGTTCTGGAAGGAATGCCTCTGTTTGCAGAACTCTCTGGGAACTTGGTGCCTGTCAAGAAAGCAACGCAACAGCGAAGCTTCCACTTCCAGTCGTTTCGAGAGAACCGCTTGGCCATCCCTGTGAAGGTGCTGGCCTCCTCTGGCCACCCTGTTCTCTTGGTCTAGGAGTTTGGGAGGCAGGAACCCCTGAGAACACCAGCCTGGAGGCATCCAGGGCCCTACTAAAGCTCCCTGTGTGTGATTGAATCTAGGTGAGGGACAGCAGTCGCGAGCCAGGAGGGTTCTTGTCGTTCCTGCGAAAGGCGATGAAATACGAGGACACCCAGCACATCCTCTGCCACTTGAATATCACCATGCCCCCCTGTACCAAGGTGAGCTGCCACCGCCAACTTCCCTTAGAAGCCCCCAGAACACGCATCCATCCAAAGGGCTTCTTCCTGTGTTCTGAAGCACTAACTTCAATTTCCAGGCTCCTCAGGGACTCTTGCTCGGCTATGGACATTCACTTTGTGGCTAGGCAGAGAAAGCTTGCCCTGGAACGTCCGAAAAGCCTGGTTATGTGATGAGAGGAGCCAATGTCAGGGTCAGGGCTGATAGGACTGTTCACATGGAGCCAGCCTCCCTAGAATGTGGAGGACAGATCCACCCCCCACCCCCCACCCCGACCTCCGATGCTCTTGAGGCGTCTGAGGCTTACAGCTGAGTGGGGACTTGCCCAAGGTCACTTACTCATAGACAGAAGTTGTCAAGTCTCTTTTCCATTTATTCGCCTGTCTTTCCTCTCAAACAAGGGGACCCTGGTGTCCCCAGCCACTTTCAAAACCCAGGTTTCCACGCTCAGCCAAGGAGTCTTGACCAATGACCTCTTTCTGATCCCTGTGAAAGCATCATGGTGTCACTTGGACCTTTGGAGCAACTCCATCCTCAGAATGTCTCCAGGTTTCTGTCAGGGCTATTGTGCTTCTGTTTGAGTCATTGGCCTTCGTGTGGTCACCTAGAAGAGAAACAAGGTCACCTTCAGCTATGTGACTCAATTTCTCTTTTACTTCTGATGATGAGTGTCAACCTACTTCTCTCTCAAATGGGGTTTCCAGTGCCTAGGACAAAGAGGCCCTGGTGTTAAACCTTAGCCAGTGTGAGTCAGCAATGAGTCATTGAGCAGAAGAGAATCCAGAAAGAAAAACTGAGCTTAAATTCAAAATCTGCCTCTACTGGGTGATCTTGTGCAAGTTTCTTTTGGTGCCTCAGTTTCCCCACCAGTGAACTAGAAGTTGTACCCAGGGGTTGGAGAGATGGCTCAGAGGTTAAGAGCACTGATTGTTCTTCTAGAGGTCCTGAGTTCAATTCCCAGCAACCACATGGTGACTCACAATCGTCTGTAATGAGATCTTGCGCCCTCTTCTGGCCTGCAGGCATACATGCAGACAGAACACTATATATAATAAATAAAATAAATCTTTTAAAAATGTTTTTTAAAAAAAGAAGAAGTTGTACCTACCTGCCTCATAGGTGGCTCCCAGTATAAAATGGAGCGGCTCACACAGTAAAGGCTACCTAGGTCTGCCATTCTTGATATTATTAACTAAGTATTTGCGTACCACAAACCTCCTTCCACTCCCATCTCTTAACCACGTGTTTTATCTGTCAGGCCATGGACCACCAAAACACGAGAGCTTGCATCGGCTTCTCTAAGAGAGAGTGCGCCCAAAATCCATTGCAACCTTTCTCTGTCTTCTGCAGGGCAGTGGATCAGAAGACAGGAGGAGGACGCTGACGCCCCTGACCCTTCGATACAGCATTCTCAGCGAGTCCCGGCTGGGTAGGAGCCCCTCGCCTAGCACCCCGATATGCTTGCTCTTATAAGAGTGCAGACACATTCCCATCAAGGCAATCTGTCAAGGATGTCCTTGTCAAGGACTCTGTCCTGGTGTCAACTCATCTGATTTTATCTGCAGCAGGCAAAGCCTTCCCCTTAGGTCTCTACCTGACAGTGTGATCTGAAGGGCCTGTGTTACCTGAGCATCCTTTTGTAAGGGCCAGACACCCACCTCGTCCGTGTTGCGACCTGCCCCTGTGGCTAACTGCAATCCAATGCATCTTCCCAGGTTTTACCAGTGACACAGACCGTGTTGATATGAAGATGGCGGTCATCACGGAGCACCTCGGCCTCAGCTGGGCAGGTGAGTTATGGAATTTGGACAGAAAAAAAAAAACAACCAGATCTACCTAACCCCATGATCCTTCCTCCTGGGTGACCCAGGATGAAGTGCGTCCAGCTTCATCATCCATTGTGCATTGAGTCTATGATGGCCCATTTTATAAGCAATGCCACTGGGCACAAGGGGAGAGCAGTGAGCCCCCCCCCCCCGCCATGTTTGTCTGTTTCCCCTGGAAGCATTGTGAGAAACAGTTATCCTTACTTTTATAGCAAGAGTAGCAGAGACTCCAGGGAAACAGCCCTTCATCTTAAGACCTTGCCAAGTTGAGCATCAGCCTAGGCCATCAGGAGCGCTGGTTGAGCGCAGAAAAGCGTTTATAAATCCTAAGCCGGGAGCCTTCTGTAATAATCCTATCTCTCCCACTGTTAGTTATGTTTGAATGTTTCTCAACAGAAACTGTGTCTGAGTTCATCTCTCCATTTAAATTCTGTGTATTTCCAAGATTAATGGGTGCGTGGCCTCACAGGCAGACTCGGCTACTGCTTAGTTTCTACTCTCCAGCGCCAGTTCGTGTGGTCGGGAATGGCTAGGCTAGCGGGCATTAGCAGGGCTCCAGTGTTTCCTGTTCATCTGCAGATGAGCTGGACCTAAGCTGGCTGGAGACACCTTTGAGAATAAACATCAGATTTTATATCTAACAACACCAACGCTTGACGTTGTAAGCTGCCTTTGGGTATACTGGTTTACCTTGTCTTATCACTGGGAATGCGAAGATCCACCTTAATAAAGCAGGTTGGTAGCTAGTGACAGAACACAGAAAATGAAACAAATAAACATAAACACACAGACAAATGATATGTGTGTATACATATATATATACATATATACACATACACACACATATATATATATATATATATATATATCTTGTGACGGTGTCCACTGCCTTCTCAGTGCTACTCAGTACCTTCTCAGAGGCAGCTTGCTGTGGGAAAAGGGGAAAGGGCCAGATCTCCAGATGTTGCACCTTTTGCCTCCGGCTATAGCTGAGCCTATGGTACTTTCTGGCTACAGCAGGGTAGACAGGATTTGAAGGGAAGCAGGTAGGCAGAGGAAAATGCTCCACATGTTGACGTAACCTCGGGCTCTGTAAACGGACGTGTTCTCTCTCTCCATCCTCTGCTGTAATCTTTATGTGGATGACCGTCCTGTGTGCACTCACCCTGCACAGTGCTTTAGACGACTCAGGCACCACAGTGGGAACTTCCTGAAAAGCTGTGTGGCAGGAATTCAGAATTTGGGAACTATCTGTTCTTTAGGCTATTTCCATTCCTGCTTGGTGTGTGTACATTCATGTGTGTGTGTGTGTGTGTGTGTGTGTGTGTGTGTGTGTGTGTGTAAAAGGTGTACTGTGTCTATACATGTCCATGAATATATATATACACATGTGTATGTATGCTGCACATGTGCACATCTGCATACAAGTATATGGTCTGTGTCCTTATATGTGGTGTGTGTGTGTGTGTGTGTGTGTGTGTGTGTGTGTGTGTGTGTGTGTGGTGTTGTATAGGCATGTTCTGACCTGTAGTCACCAGTCTTCCTCATACTTAAAGTACTCTGATGTATTCCCCTTCTAAACACCTGTGAGCAGTCACAGTAAAAGGAACAGAGGAAGTTCTGTCGTAAGCACAGGGCTGCCTCCCTCCCTATCCTCTAGTTCTTGGAGGACAGCCAGTGGCCACCTGTCCAAAGCTGCAGGTGACCTGAGCTATGGCGCCTTCGAAGTCTGGGGACTAGCTTGTCTCATCACTCCCCAGTGATGTCGGAAAAGAAGAAAGGAAATGTCTTCATTCACTCATCACTCACTCATTTGATGACTGTTCCCCTGCCCCATTCACTAGGCACACACGGAGGCAGATACGTGTTCCGCACCAAGTCTCTCCTGGTGGGAAGGAACCCCGGATTTAATGGGGACTGTGATAAACTGGGCACTCATACTGGCTCTTGGTTCTTTGTCTACAGAGCTGGCCCGGGAGCTACAGTTCACCGTGGAGGACATCAACCGGATCCGCGTAGAAAACCCCAACTCCTTGTTGGAGCAGAGCGCAGCCTTGCTGACCCTCTGGGTGGCCCGAGAAGGCGAAAATGCGAAGTGTCAGTACCATTCAGCCAACTGTCTGGCTAGAGAGCTGCCCTCACCAGAGCCCTTCTTTCAGAGTCCAGTCCTGCTGCTGACCTGGGCTTTCCCATCTCCGTCACTTCTCATAGTCTTGAGGTCTCCTAGGCAACCCTACCACCAGTGGCTCCTGCCCTCAACCTTTCCCATTCTCAGAAGGAGGGGGGGGGAAATTGCCCTGGACCCCTGAGAATAACATGTTACAGGATGTGAGACTCTTGTTCTCAGAGTATTCCTATTGAATTTCTCAACCGAATGAGTTCTGTGGTCTCAGAGCAGTCAGGTGGGCCTACCCCAGTATGCCTTAGCTCTTGTTCTCTTAGGAACCCCCTCTCTTGCCTGGGAAAGACTTGTCTTGCTCTGTTTTTCAGCAACTCCTCCAAATCCTGCCCTATGCATGAGCTGGTGCTTCTGTCTGCTTCTTACATCCTCTGATGTAGACCAGGACTTCAAAGGGACAGTCTTTCGCCTTATTTTCTCATTACTATTACAGTTCTCTCTCTCTCTCTCTCTCTCTCTCTCTCTCTCTCTCTCTCTCTCTCTCTCTCTCTCTCTCTCTCTCTTTGTCTCTCTCTGTCTCTGTCTCTATCTCACTCACACACACACACCTATAGCTATCACACACACCTATAACTATCACACACACCTAAATCTATCACACACACACACACACACACACACACACACACACACACACACACACCTACCTTTAGATACTTCACATTGGCCACTAAGCATCTGGCTTGTGCTCAGCAGAGCCAGAGCACTTACCAAGCATGCACGAGGCCATGGGCTCTGTAGTTGGAAGGTTTCCTGTGTCCTGCCGGGGTCCTGTAGTTGGACAAATCTCTCCCACCCACTTCCCACTTGATCTCATATAACACACAGAGGCTTATATATATATTATTTTCAAACTGTGTGGCCTAATGGCTCAGGCTTCTCGCTAGCTAGCTCTTACATCTTGAATCAACCTATTTCTATAAATCCGTACTTTGCCACATGGCTTGTGGCTTACCGGTACTTTTACATCTTGCTTCTCCTGGCGGCATCTACCAGCATCTACCCCACTCTCCTTTCTTCTCTCACTCTCTCCCTTGGATTTTCCCACCTGGCTCCACCCTGCCCTGCCATAGGCCAATGCGGCTTTACTTATCAACCAATCAGAGCAACACATATTCACAGCATACAGAAAGACATCCCACAGCAGGGCTCCATCCCCAGCATTGAAAGAAACAAAACAAAAATGCCGAACCACAACTGGCCCCTCTTGGTTTTTTGTAGACCTGTTGTATAAAAAGATGTTATCCACAAACGGGAACTGTTTCTCTTCCCCAGACTTCCTCCTGCCCCGTGTCTGCTAGGCCTGCACAGCGTGCCTGGTTCTCTAGAATCGCGTGGGTTTGCTCCTCAAGCACCTCCTCTCTTCTCTCCCAACAGTGGAGAATCTGTACGCAGCCCTGCGGAACATCGACAGAAGTGAGATTGTTAACATGCTGGAGGGCTCCGGCAGGCAGAGCCGCAACCTCAAACCTGACCGGCGGCATGGGGACCGGGACTATTCATTGTCACCCTCCCAGATGAATGGTGAGTGTCCTGTGAGACCAAGCTGAGCTGGGGCCCTGCCTTCCAGTACCAGCAACAATGGCCCCTTCCCATGACACTCCATTTCCCCTAAACCATCTCTCCCTCCTGTTGATGGGAGGGTTGTCGGCGTTGAACTCCTCCTACCAGGGAGAGCAGAGGCAAGTGAGAGAGACAGCTAGCACCCGCCTGTACAGGTGGGCATCCTCCTCCAGGGCTGCCTGCCTCTGTGCCCACATGTGCCCACAGGCCCTCACCACCAGCCCCCAGAACCAAGGTCCCAGAGGGGCCTGGCATGGCAAGAAGGGATTTGAGTCTGGGAAGAAGTTACCTAGGCCCTTGCCCTAGAATCTCCAAGCTTTGTTTCATGAGGCATGGGTCCTCTCGTGTCCCTGTCCGCAGCATATTCAGTGATTAGGAAGCAAGGAACACGGAGACTCTGGCCCAGGGTCTCAGGGGATCAGTTGATGGTGTTTAAAATCCCACTGTGAACCCTCGGGACTAAGGTGTCTTCTCGAGCCCGGTCTCTCTTCCTTGTCATCCTCTGTCCCTTTTTTCCCATCTCATCTGTTTCCCCGCACTCTTCAGGACGGTTCAGCATGGCAGGGAGCCCCAGTGTGACCCATCCCAAGAGGCCCTGACCTTTGCCACTGAGCTGTGTCTCAGGCCTGCGCTCTGCCCAAAGCGGCAATGGAGGCAGGCATTGCCATGAAGGAGCAGAGCCTGGAGGTCCCAAGGCCTTTCTCTTCATCCCCCCTCTCTCTCTGGCCGGTGGGCACGAGTGGGGCCCCTCTTCTACCTCAGCCCATGGTGGAGGCCCAGAAGCCTGCGCCTTAGGCCCTTCCTGCCTGCTGGTGCTCACAGGGCAGAGACACCTCCTTGTCTTTAGAAATTGGGTTAGATTCCAAGCTGCTTACTAACTTTGGAAATCTTGTCAACTGTGGGGTGTGTCTTCTTGTGGTGTCCCTACCTCACTATGGACAGCTATGTGGGGACAGCAATGCTCCCCAAGCTGGTAGTTTTTAAGGCTGTCCCTAGCCATGTACATGTGGAACACAAGGGCACCTGAGTCACAGCTTGTGGTGCCATCAGGGAGCAGGGAGTACCAGGGGCAGGTGAGTTCTAGACTAGGCTGGACACAGGGCCTCCTTCAGTCAGGTGGGGCCGGTGCATGCCAAACCTCCCCCGTTCTCTCTCTCTCTCTCATGTCTTGTGTCTCCTGAAACATGCTATCTAGCCCCCTCAGGTGTGGGGCTCATCTACTGATCATGTCCTGTCTCCTCTTTCTGCCTCTGACCTCATCCTGACTCCTCACTCCTTTGTACTTCCTGTTCTCCACTGTCTCCACCCGGCCAAGTGTCCAGAGCTGTCAGATTTCACAAGTGCATGTCACGGAGGACCCCTAGCCCCCCACCCCACCCCACCCCATGCATCTCATGGCTGTCCCCATGGGCATCTGTTGCGTGTGCATGGCGTATTGTCCGTGTTGCCTTGTGGTGGCTGCTGATGCGTATGCTCCACTCACTCTTCAGGTCCAGAGGGTTCCAGAACAGCGATCTACAGCTGTGGGGATTGTAGCTGCCCTCTAGGAACCTGGTTGGAGCCCCATGGGGAGCTCCTAAGTAGGCCAGCTCCCCCTTCACAGAAGGAAAAAGAAGGGCAGCTGAGAAAATCTGTAAGCTTTGGGAAATACAAAGGACAAGACACTGGATCCTTGTTGGATGGCATGGGCTTCTCAATATCGCCCGTGCTGTTTCGATCAAGTTAAATCCACAGGTTATGCTTATGCCCTAAATTAAGTTAGCATTCGTAGGACTAGCAGACCTTTAGGATTTCCTGGGCCTGAAGGACTGACAGTTGGCTCCGGTCAGACCAGAAGAGTGTTAATACGTCAGCAGTCCCAAGTCCATGAGTGGGACCGAGTCTCTGTGTGTTCTGTGTCTGATGATAGGGCTCTGTTGCCATGGGCTAGCCCTGTTGGCACATTTTTTTTTTCAAGCGTCAGCTACATGTTAGACACCATTCTAGGCAGGGGAGCGAAGTCAGTTCAAAACAAAATTCTGCCTTTGTGAAATCTTCCTTGTGTTATGAGTCCATGGATAATATGCGTGAGAATATATGCCGTGTTATATGTGATATGGCCTCATAGGGATATGAGGGTACATAGGCTAGAATAAAGGGACTGAGTAGCATGGTAGGATAGTTGCATTTGAACAAAGGCACAAAGAAGATGCGGGGATGAGCCACATGTAGACAAGAAGGAAAGAACATTCCAGAAGGGTGGCATGCCTGGTGGATTCACAGATAGCGAGGAACCAGAGGAACTAGGACAGTAGGAGGTAGAGCGAGAAAAGGCGGGAGGCCTAAGGGGCACCAGGAAGCTGACCCTAGAGACTGTCAGAAGACCATTGGGTTTTGTGTGGTGGCATTTGAGCAAAAGAATGACATCATCCTCAAAGGACTCTCCTCCTGCTTTGCTGTCTTTAACGGCTTCTCTGTGCAGTGTGCCAACCTCCTGTACCTAAAAGCCCCCAGATCTCCAGATGAGCCTCGACTCTGGCCCCTGTAGGCATGATGCCCTCAGTCAGGGGCCAAAATCATACATTGATCCTTGGCCTGATCCTCCCTGCCACCTAGGCATCAGGATTGATTGGTATATATTGTTGCTCCCTCCTCCCTCCCTGTCTCAGGACGACTGTCCCACATTTGCCCTTCCAGTCAGACATGATCAGAAGTGCAGGGAGGAAGAGGCACCAGCCTCCTGGGCCATCTCTGGGTGTCCTCTGACAAGGACACACGGCACCTGTCCTGGTGCCAGCCAAGCCCTACACGTTACGATGGTCACAGTCCACTCAGTTTCTGAGTCCTCTGCTGGTCTCCACCTGAAGTCACAGGGACTCAGGGCAGTGCCTACAGAAAAGGGGCGGGGGCGGGACAGGGAGTGGGGTCCTTATTTGAGAGCCATTTTTTTCCCATCATGGCTTTTCCTGACCTGCATACCTGCACTGCTGTGGGAAAGGAAATTTGGCCCAAAGGCCAGTTTTCCTACGTAAGAGGGGACCACTCAGGCCCATGGAATAAGCACAGAGGGAAAAAAATGCCTATTTAAAAAAACAACAAAAAAATAACCCCATGAGACATTTCTTATATGGAAAAAAAAAGTGGGCATCTCATACCCATCAGCTCCATCTATCTTAATGAGACGTCTAGTTGGAAACAAAATGTGCTTATTTATATCAATGTTTAATGATACAGCTAGTGAAACATGACTCCTGTTTGGGGCCAGGTTACCTGCCCACACCTTTTATTGACTACAAGCATTGAACTAAGAGGATGATCACTGCATTTGGGTTAGTATATACCCAGGACAGTAACCTGCTAGAAAGAAAGGCCACCTGGTGTTCCACCCAGCTCTCAGTCTACTCAAGAAGCCACAGGCAGGCATGATCTGCAGGCAAAACCTCCCCCAAGAGCCTCCTCAACAGACCCAAGAATGAGATGACACCAGAGGAGCACTTACCACGGGGCCACTCTCTGTGCTCACATAGTCGGTCAACAACACGAAAGTGCCCATCAACAGCCACAGCAGGAAACTCCTGGGCTGGGTGAAACCCTTGACAAGCCATGCAACCTGGTGCTGGGAAATGTGAAGGAGGAGATGGTGACCCAGGTCCCCAAGATTGACAAGGGCCAGAAGTAGTCCATGCCAGTCAACAAGGATCTGCTGTGGAGCAAGGCTCACCCTCCCTCTCAACTCAAGAAGTCAACGCAAAGAAATATAGGCACAGGTATTACTGAGAGAGGACTCGGTCATTATGGCCCTGAGGAACTCACTCAACACTGGCAAGTAGAGTAGGGGCCTCTTCCCACCATGAGAACCTGCTCCTTGCCCTGCAGAGACCAGCACAGTGGGATGGGAAGAAATCCCTATGTGTTTTATAGAAAGAAAGAGAGAGAAAGAGAGAGAGAGAGAGAGAGAGAGAGAGAGAGAGAGAGAGAGAGAGAGAGAGAAGAGAAGAGAAGAAAGGAAAGAAGGAAGGAAGGAGGAAGGAAGGAAGAAAGAAAGGAAGGAAGGAAGGAAGGAAGGAAGGAAGGAAGGAAGGAAGGAAGGAAGGAAGGCAGCCGACAGGCTGGCCCCTGACTTACTCTGCTGCAAGCCTTATATATGTGACTACTACCTGATCTTCCCAAGGTCAAGCACAAGGCCTTTAGACTGGAGGATGGGCTGGTGACCCAAGTGGAACAGAGCTGCAAGAGTCCTAGAATGATGAGCACTTCTGAAACTTAGGTAGGACCGAAGTAGATCTTCCCAAGGTCTTTTCTACCCTTGACCTAGTGAGACATCCCCATGAGGGTACATAGGCCTCAGTGACCATGGCACCACACTAACAGTGATACCCACCCATGTCATTTCTATAGTTGCTGAGATCCTCGGATCGAAGTCTGAGTGGGTGGGTAGGGTCCTCTAAAAATGGAAAACATCTTGAAGGCAGTCACCAGAGGTGACAGTGAACAGAAATTATACATATGTTTTCTCCACTCCCACTTAATTTAGATGAAATTTCCACTCAAATGAACACCGTGGAAGCTTCAAGGTGGAAGGGTTACAGATGAGTCCCAGAGCCTCTGATGTTTGGAGGGCAGAAGACCTCCACCCTGAAATACTGATGAGATACCCAAGGGTGACAGAATGGCTGTATATGACAATCTGTTTATGACGTACACCACTTCTGGACAAGTCATAAGGATTAGACACACATCCCTTCTTAAGGATGCTGCCCCAAACTGGAAAGCCCGCGATGAGACAGCAGTTTGCAAGACGTTAGACATGAGGAAGTGAGAGTCAGTGGTCCATGAGAGTTCTTTGAAGCCCAGATTCAGCGTTAACAGCATTTCTAAGGAAACCCAGGTGGTCTACCTGGGTTAAGGAGAGGTGCTGAGGTCATGGAATCCAAAGCAGCTATACCTGCAGAGATAACAGGCCAGGAAGGAGACATCTAACAAGAATCAGAAAGCAGCCAGGCGGTGGTGGTTCACGCCTTTAAACCCAGCACTTGGGAGGCAGAGGCAGGCGGATCTCTGTGAGTTCGCGACCAGCCTGGTCTACAAAGAGAGTTCTAGGACAGCCAGGGCTACACTGAGAAAACCTGTCTCAAAAAAACACAGAGAGTCAGAACACTAGAGTCCTTTGGAAGGTCACCTACATGCTTCAGCTGAGTATTGATCAGATATTCCCAATGGCTAGCCTGGCCATTCAGACATTAGTTACAGAAAGAAGGACCATGCTTCAGAAAATGAGAATAAGTAACCTGAGCTTGAGCAATGCATAAGACCTGCCTAAGAAATCCTGAAAGCAAAATGCAATGGGATCAAACTGCTTTCCAAATAAACCGCTTAACAGGACAGCCACCAAGTATGTGCAGGGCTACGAAAATATCCAGCACTTAAAAGGTCAAATTCATGGTGTCTGGCAGCTAGTTAGAGAGGGCCAGATCCCAGAAGCAGGAAAATGGAATCAGTAACGGGAAGAAAAAGAGGGACTGGGACAGACAGACAAAGATGGCAGGACAGTCGGAACAGCTGTGACTGTGCATTCAATACAGTGTTCCAGGTGACACTCAGCAGCAGAGCATTTGCCTAGCTACACAGAGACTCTGTCGGCAGATGCACTCCAAACTGAAATACAGGAAGACAAGAAAAGATACCAAAAACATCAGTGATCTTTGGGACAATTTCAAAAGCATGTGTGTATGTGTGTGTACCTATATATGTATGTAGATGTACATATATGTGCTGAAAGTATTCTGAACTTGATGAAAATTATAAATACATTGGTATAGTAAGTATCATGAACTCCATATACAGGAAGCATTTTAGCAATTGTATTGAGGTATACAATAAGCAAACTGGTCAGAAGTGAGCATGGAAGAGAACTCAGTACAAGGGAACCAAAATAAGGATGATAGACTCGTGGGAAAGAGGATAAGCAAGAAACTGATGAGTTTGAAGTAAAACACCATTGTACTTCAAAGTTAAGCTCTTTCTTCAAAGAAAGAGCAGACAGGGCTTGGAGCATGCTCAGCCGTGGAACACTTACCTAGAATATGTGAGACTTGGGTTTGCTCCCAATGGTGACAGAGAGGACAGAGGAGGGGGTAAAAGAAAGGAAAAGGGGGATAGGGAGGAGGAGGAAGAGGAAAAAGTATTAGTAGCAGCAATGTCTTTAATCCCAGCACCAAAGAGACAGTGGCAGGCAGGTCTCTGTGTGTTTAAGGCCAGCCCGGTCTATCTATGTAGCGAGTGCCAGGCCAGCCAGGGCTACGTGGTTGAGTCTCTATCTTAGAAGAAGAGGAAGAAGAAAGTTCAAAGACAACATGAGCTGCATAGCAAGTTGGAAGCCAACCTGGGCTATATAGAAAGGAGCGGGGGAGCATCCCAGGGAAACGAGCATGCCTGTAATCTTAGTATTCAGGAGGAAGAGACAGAAAGGGAGCCTCAAGTCTCAGCACAGCTTGATTTAGATAGCAAATTTCAAGTCAACCATGTACATGATGAGACCCTGTCTCAAAAAAAAATAGCAACTAAATTAAAGCAAAAATAAAAATTCTTCCAGATGTGTAAAAGCTGAAAGCATTTACCAGGAGACCCACACTACAAGCAGTGTTGAAAAAGAGAATCTGAATTGAATCTGCGTGTGTGTGTGTGTGTGTGTGTGTGTGTGTGTGTGTGTGTGTGTGTGTCCCCTTTAGCACAGTGCCTGGCATGGAATCAGACATTGGCGAATGTGTTTTGGCTGAGTATGTGGAGGAATGAGGATGAGTGTAGACAGTGCTGTTAGATGCAGAGGCCATGGGAGAGCCGGAGCCCAGAGCTGAGAGCAAGGAGGCAGGCTAGGCTGAAAAGAATAAGAATGAAGATCTGAGTATGAACATAAAGGCCTGGTTTAGGGATTGTGGGGACTGGGAAGGGGCTGGCTGATTGAAGGGTTTGGGCATACGGCTTGGAAGACTAGATAATAGAAGGTCCCTAGAAACAACATAGCCCTACCCTGCTACACACACACACACACACACACACACACACACACACACACACACACACACACACCCTTTGTTTCCCCTGGATCTTTCCCTGTAGTCACATGCCAGTTCCCTGGCTCCTCAGACACACTGTGCCAGGTAGAAAAGCTTGTCTGTAGACTGGCACCGGCTCTCCTGGGAACAAAAGGAACCTCTCTGTGACTCCTGGAGGTGAGAGGGTTGACGCACCTCTGACAGAACCCCGATCGCCACCCAACACACAAATAAATCCCCTGCATGCAGGCGGGCTTCTCAATCCATTCATGGTCACATCTCAACACCAGGGAGCCGAGGTCCAAGCCAGCCAGACACTGTCTAGAGCTTATTTCCAAAGCAAGGAGCAGGTATGGGAGCAGGCTGCAGACTCCAGGCTGTGCTGGGTCCCTGCGGAACCAGAGCTGGGTGGATAGCTATCTCAGGGCCTGTGGATGAAGCACCGCGGGCAGGTGTGCTGGACCCATGGTGCCCTCTGACCTTGCGCCATTTTTAACCCCTTAGAACCCTCACCTGTGCCACTGTAGATCATTCAGAGTTTGTGGAACCAATATGCACCTTGAGGAAAAGTCACTTCATGCCAATCCAGAAGCCTGTTTCCCACTTGACCACCGCACTGAGGTCTGTGGATGTTCAGTGTCCCCTGTCAGACCCCTCCAGGGCAGCCTTGTTACTGACCCTGATCCTGGGTGGGCTGCACTCCCCCCGCCCCAAAGGTACATTCCTAACAGGACTCGAAAGACTGAGCAAAGAAAGATCATCCTTTACTCCGCCAGCCACGGAGACTGGGGCTTTCATCTGATCGATCAGGACAGATCGGAGCACAAGTCCTTTGGATAAAGCCTTCTTTATCTAGTGCTCAGAGCTGGATAAGAATGAATTTCAATCACGTTTCTTTGCCCTCCAGCAAAGGAGCCCCCTTCTCTACCCTCACCCCTTGGCTGCCCCCCATCCAGCTCAGAGCCTTGTTTCTCTTGCCAGGGTGGTCCCGGCATTAGCCACAAGGCCTGAGCTTTGGACTTGGAGCTTGGAAAGCCCCCGCCCTGAATGTGCATGCCTCTCTGTGGCCGTGCCTGTGTGTAAGTGTGTGTGGTCCTGCACGTGAGCGTGTGAGACAAAAAATCGCTTCTGGAGCATGTTGCCCTCTGTCTGCCCTTCCAGGTTACTCCTCGTTGCAGGACGAGCTGCTGTCCCCCGCCTCCCTGCACTACGCGCTCCCCTCTCCACTGTGTGCAGACCAGTACTGGAACGAAGTGGCTGTCATAGACGCCATCCCCCTGGCGGCCACGGAGCATGACACCATGCTGGAGATGTCTGACATGCAGGTGTGGTCTGCGGGCCTCACACCCTCCCTGGTCACTGCTGAGGACTCCTCTCTGGAGTGCAGCAAGGCCGAGGACTCTGACGCCACGCAAGAGTGGAAGTTGGAGGGGGCACTCTCAGAGGAACCGCAGGGCCCGGAGCTGGGCTCTCAGGACCTGGTGGAGGACGACACAGTGGATTCAGATGCCACAAATGGCCTGGCTGATTTGCTAGGTCAGGAGGAAGGTCAGAGGTCAGAAAAGAAGAGGCAGGAGGTCTCAGGCACAGAGCAGGACACGGAGGCTGAGGTGTCTCTTGTTTCAGGCCAGCAGCGAGTTCACGCCCGAATCACAGACTCACCCACAGTGAGGCAGGTGCTGGACACAAGCCAGGCCAGGTAAGGGCTGGTCTACGGGTCCCTTCTGTCTTCCTGGGTTTGGGATCTGACTATTCCTGTGCTGGGCACAGGCAGAAGGCTTGGATACTGCTGCTCACCTGTATTCTAAATGCCCTGTGGCAAATACATATGAATGCCCCTGAAGCCACCAACCGTCAGAAAAGAGCTGTGACCCGCAAAGGTCAGTTTCCCGCCAGTTGTGCCCAGCAGGAGAAACGCAGAGAGGATTTGGGACATGTGTGCCTAGGAGATGCATTGATGGATGTATGGCCACACCATGGCGCTGGGGCTTAGTGCTTTTGGGTTCCTGATGCCGCAGAGTACTCCCATGTATCTGAGACACCGAAGCCAGCACTATGCTAAGACAAAGGCTCAGAGCTGGCAGAGGAAATGCAGACATGTTGAGTGTCCCTCCCTGCACTGGTGTAGAGGCCCTTTCTCTGTTCATGTCACTTTGCTTTATACGTCCTCCCTAAAGTGGCTCGTGTGGGTCTAGCAGGCAGTACCCACCCAAGGAGCTCAGATTTGGCCAGGCCAGAGAGCAATCGTGTCCTCCCCCTCTTCCCACTGTCCTGAAGCCTCCACTAGCCATCCCTGGGGTCCTCAGAATAGACCATCACACTGTGGGAGGAAAAGTGTTTGCAAGAGGAGATGGCAAATCATTCATTTCACTTCCTAAAGAAGTCCTTTGGTTTGTGGGAAGGCATGGATGGGCTGAGCTTGTGAGGGTCACGGTGAGATGCCTGTGAACAGTACCTGCGAGGCCACTCACTCAGCAGGCAGCTAGTCAGCACTTCCTGTCTGCTGGCCACTGCTGTTAGAGCAGGGGGCTCGCTGAAAGTGGGCTCTGACCGGCTGTATCATTTCCTGGCTGTGTGACTTTGGTCAGCCATCCAATGTGGATGGGCACATTTCATTCACTCGCTCACTTACCCACATTTACTGAGCATTTACCATGTGCCAGGCTCCTATAAGAAGGCAGTGAAGAAGGCCAGGTGGTGGTGGCACACACCTTTAATCCCAGCACTTGGGAGGCAGAGGCAGGTGGATCTCTGTGAGTTCGAGGCCAGCCTGGTCTACAGAGTGAGATCCAGGACAGCCAGGGCTGCACAGAAAAACCCTGTCTCAAAAAATAAAAAAGAAAGAAAGCAGTGAAGAAATCAGACAAATGTCTGCCTGTAGGAATGTTCTAGTGAGGAAACTGACAGGGAACAAGATAATGTAAATAAAACCAGAGTTATAGTTGGCCTTTGGAGTCTCCAGGCCTTCATAATCATGGTTTCCAAACCCATGGCTTCTACTGCCTATGGAGCATGTAAATGCTAGCTACACTTAACGTGTGCACATATTTCTTGCTGTTCCCTACACAGTGCAGTACAGCAACCATTTACACACCATTTCCGTCCTACTGGGAATTAGTCTCTGGGCGACCTAAAGTATGAACGAGGGTGTGTGTGGGTTCCGTGTAATTCCATACCATTTCACATAAGAAACTTGAGCATCCATGTGTTTCGGTATCCTGGGGGGTCATAGGATCAGTTTCTCTCGGATATTAAGGGATAACTGTAACTAAAATTGAAATTTTGGTAGCTAGGGAGACAGCTCGATGTTTAAGAGCTAGCCTCACGAACATGAGGACCAGAGCTTGACTCCCCCAGAACCCACATAAATGTTGGGTGTAATTCTAGCCTCCAAAGGTGGAGACATGGGGCTTCCACAGCAAGCTGGCTAGCTAACCTGGCCCCAGCAGCAAACTCTGGGTTTGGTTGAGAGAACCTGCCTCAATGAATATGGTGGAAAAGCCAGGAAGGACGGCTCCCAGCATCAGTCTCAGGCCTCTAACCCACACGTGCACACACACACACACAGATGTGAGCACCCACACACACAGGGAGCTCACACACACAGGCAGACATGCACAGACACACACGCATAGCACCTATGCATGAAAATGGGGGAAATAGGAACTTTAAATAAAAAAGTAAAAAAATAAACGACAAATTGAAATCTTACTGGATAATTACAAGTACTAAATGGAAAATCGAAGCAGGAAGGCAGAGCACCAAGTGGGTGTGTGGGGGGAAAGGAAAGTGGTTGGAATTACAGATAAGGTGACAGAGAAGGCCTGAGTGGGTGATGGTCTAGAAGACTTCAAAGAATGAAAGGGTGAGCCACATGTATGCCAGAGGACAGCACCCCTCAGAGCACTGGGAACTGTAATGTTCCGGAGCATGCATGAGGACACTACCAGCTGTATTCTAGATGAGCCGGAGCCCAGGGGAGTGGGGGAGTGGTGTGTCTAAGGGCTGAGACTGAAGGTGAACAGCTGTCCTCTCTTTCTCCCTGGCCATCTATCACCTGTTGTGGACCCTAGAACACTGGACTGGGATAAACAGGGCTCCATGGTGCCCAATCTTCAAGAAGCTGCACATAGTTCCTGGCAAGAGGAGGTCACACAAGGCCCGCACTCACTCCAGAGAAAGATCACCACCATCCAAGGGCCGGAGGCCAGCACGCTTCAGGAATATGAGCAGGTGCTGGTGTCTGCCAGGGAGCATGTGCAGAGGGGCCCACCTGGGACTGACAGCCCCCAGGCTGGCAAGGAACCAAGCGTGTGGGCATCCGAGAGCACCTTCTCTCAAGAAGTACAGGTGAGAGCGTGTCCTTGTTCTTTTCTTTGTTTACTTTTTATTTAGGGTGGGGATGTGTGTGTGTGTGTGTGTGTGTGTGTGTGTGTGTGTGTGTGTACACATGATGTAGGGGTAGGCCCGTGCGCCACATCCTATCTATAGAGGTCAGAAGATGACTTTTTAGAGACAGTCCTCTCCTTCCATCTTTACATGAGTACTGGTGATTGAACTCAAGTCCCCAGGCTGGTACAGCGCACACCTTTACCTGCTGAACCATCTCACTCCTTCCTCCTGTTCTTTCTAGCTTTCAGGCGCTCGTGACTCAGGCCCTAAGCCAGGCATGTTTCCTGGTGGTGACGTCACTTTCTATCCTTTCATCCTCTTGACTTCTCCTTTGGAAGGAAAGGGCTCGTGCACCAGTTATCATGGTCATCCATCCCACGGCCGCACGGTGCCCCACACTCACTCGCCACCCCTGATGTCCACGGGGCTGGGCAGCTTGCCCTAGGCCTCGCTCGTCCAGTGGGATTCGAGCAAACTCTGGGTGATGCCCAGTCATGGCTCTGGTTTGTTTGCTTTGTTTTGTCTTGTGTTCACGTTTTGGTTCGGAAGCACGGTGTGGCCTGGGGTGCCCCCCCCCCCGCCCAAGTGTTGAGACGGCAGATGTGTACCACAACTCCTGGCTGTGTCCATCACACTCTAGAAAGAGCCTGGGGCTGAGAGAATGGTGTGTTAAGGACTCCGGCAGCCACGTGGGAACCCCCCCTCTCGGGTCTGTATAACCGTGCTCCAGCTGCTGTCTTTTCAGGACCTCAATGTCCCCACTGATGATAGAAAGGGTGAATGGAATACCACCAGCATTCACCTGGCCCTGGACTTCTGTGACTCTAGGTGGCTTCTGGGTTCTGAGGTGGCAGGGTAGCAGTAACTCCCTTCTCTCCAACTCCTGTCACTCTGGTACTCTCCCTCCAGCCATTCTGTCTCCTCCTCTCCCTCCCTTGACCCCTCCCTGTCCCATCCTCTCTTTGCTTTTCACTTTTTTTTTTGTCTTCTCTCCCATCCCCCTCTGCACTCTTGGGTCCCACAGCTCCCCAGTCATGACCAGTCTTCTTTCATCTACACCAGCAGCCTCATCCTCTCTCCCCACTTATTATTTTGAACAAAATGCCAGGCATCTTTTGGACACAGGTCTTTTGATTTGTGTGTTCTTGTTCTTGCTGAGTGTGTATTGCCATTCTGGAATGGGTATTTATAACCTGCACGTGACCTGTGGGCTCTTTTTACCCAGTACAGTATCCTCACCCAGCATCATGTTTTCCCCACTTCATCTTCCTTTATTCCCGCCTTTCTGTCTATCTTTTCTTCTCCCTGCCAGAGCACCCTTGGGAACTCCAGAGACAGTTTGGTTCTTCCGTGTTTCTGAGATGCTGTCCTGCTATAACCCACTGCTAGGAATCATAGAGAGTTTGATTTAGAAAGTCTTTCTGCCAAGTATGGGCACTGGTCCAGGTCAGGCAGCCAGTCAGTTTTAAACCACAGACCCTGCCCCCAGCACATTCCTTCCTGACTGGCTGTCCCTTGCCACCTGCTTCTGCTTCTCCCAAGAATGACACACAGCTCTGCCCAAATACGAGGGATGGTCACTGGGGCTGCTCTGAATCCCAGGGGGGAAAGCCAGGCGTAGACTTTCACGCTGCTCCCTCTGCCCCCCGTGGAGGAGAGAAGCTGAGGAGCAGAGAGCATCATAGAGAGGATGCTTCTAGATACAGACTGTGTCTGACCCCTGTGTTATAAGGCGGAAAGCATAGACAAGCAGCCAATGGCTTTCTTCAGGGTCACACAATGAACTGTGAGTATCCAGATCTCTTGGTTCCTAGTCCCCCATTCTTGTGGCCAGAGTGATGGCATAGGGCCACATGCCCAGCTTAGGAACGGAGATGTCATTGCCTCCATGTTGTGGGAACCTCTGGGTGTTTTCAGACTGGTCACTTCCGTAGATAGCTGACGGGCCCCTGGGATGATGACGAGCCCATTGAAGGAAATAGTTTTCAAAGCTCTTATTTGCCAGTATTTTCATTAAACCTCTTTGTCATCTGGGATTTGTAGTATGAACCCGAAATGACTGTAACCTAACTAATTCTTCTAGGCACTGGATGGAAATAGGAGATATCCAAAGCTGAACTCGTGTGTGTGTGTGTGTGTGTGTGTGTGTGTGTGTGTGTACATGAGTGTGCATGCTAGGATCAGCACACAGGGCTTCAGGCATGTTCCACTGCTGTTACATTCCACCATTACTCTCACAGCCCCTGGACTCTTCTTAGCTCGGCTATCATGTTCTCCTTCGACCTGCAATTGTTGTTGTGTGGGGATCTTACATTTCCAAGCATTTTCCTGCCGAAATGAAGCCGTTTGGGGTGATGGACGTGGGAAACCTCTTTCATTTACTTAACCTTTCCACTTAGACACACGACGGCCACCTCCTTTACCGGTGTCCTTCAGGTAAAAACGGGAAAACTAAAGATCCTAACTTGATAGGACGGTGGTTGTGTTCACCTGTGAAACAGGCCGGTGCCTCCAGGGCAGAGCACACTGCAGTAGTGTGTGCCCCAGTTACTCACAGTGGCTGTGTGTATCAAGCACTGTAGGAGCCACACGGCCTTCTGGAGAGCAGCCAGGAAAACACAGTAATCCCTGTTCCATGAGTGAAGACATGGAGGCCCGGAAAAAGGTGACTGACTGACTCTCCCAAGCCCTCACAGGGGCGATCCGGAGCATTAGTTTACTAGGCCCCAAGGCTGCGTTCTTTCTGCTGGGGTGGGCTAGTGATGCAGAAGGCGAGATCCTCAGCTGCTGCTGTGACTGAGTGTGTGGGTCAATTCCGCGAGCACAAGTGTGCTGGGAGTGGTTCCTCCCCTGTGGCCTGAGAAGACGCTTTGAGATGGGCCCTAAATAAGCACGAATTGCATGCTGAAAGCCTTCAGGACTCACAGGAATGACAGACCGGCTTCCCAGTGGCCCAGGACCTTTTCACTTGACAGAGTCTGAACAAATTGCTCACCTTTAGGGGTGTTTTTAAATGAATGCTTAACTTTCCTGGGTATTAGCTGGTCCAGACTCCATCATTCCCATCACTGCAACAGCTGCCCATGGAGACGCAAAAGTAGCCGCATTCTTGGGATGTCATGTTTTATGGAGTCCCTGAATGAGAAAGTTGCCTTCTGGCTCCCATAGGCAAGGCTGGTTTCCCTCTCTACGGTGACTCTGACATGCGCTTCTGAGTCCAAGACACAACACCTGCTTCCCCACATCATCCCGGTTGGACAGCAGCAGCTGGCGTGCGAGCTAAAATTATAGAAGGCTGACGTCCTCTGGGGTGTGAGGAGAGATCCCAGGCTGTTTGGCAGGAAGGACACTTGGGTCATGTTGTCCCAGCTAAGGGAGTCACTCGGGAGAGATTATTTGGTCTCCTGTTTAGAATAAGGGATAAAGAGCAAAAAGAGGCCGAGACAGAACGGAAGGGGTTACTGGGGGCCTCAGGAGTCCAGGAGGAGAATGAGAAATTGGATCTCCATAGCAGCTGGGCCCCTGGTGTCCCTGGTCCCTGGAGGGCCAGGCTGGTGAGGAGAGAGAGGAGAGAAGGATGTGGACCTTCATCACCCAGCTCCTGGTCACTCTGGTATTGCTGGGCTTCTTCCTAGTCAGCTGTCAGAATGTGATGCACATTGTCAAGGGCTCCCTGTGTTTCGTGCTGAAGCACATTCACAAGGAGCTGGACAAGGAGCTGGGGGAGAGCGAGGGCCTGAGTGACGACGAGGAGACCATCTCCACCAGAGTGGTCCGCCGACGGGTCTTCCTGAAGGTAACCCCAGGCAAATGGTAGGCTAGGGGGCTGGACCTAGGGTGGCGGAGGACCGTCTGAGGGGATTCTCTGGTGCGTGCATAGGGTGAAGCTGAGAGAATACCAGCTCAAGCCAGGAGATACGACATGCAAAGGAGACCAGGAAGACCTCTTTGCATTCTGTGCTGGGAGCCATAGCTGCATATGGTACTTGCTCAGAACCACCCCAGTACCCAGCATTGAGTAGTAGAGAAGCTCAGCTCTGGGGCTCAGGATGCCTGATCTCATTCCATTGGTATAGCCAACTTTGGGACTCCAGCCACCGCCAGGGCAGGGATTGTCTGTGGCATTCTCTCCCATACTTTCCTGGGGGCCTTCGGGAACTTGCATAATCGCCCTGTATTGTTGCCATTACAATGGTCAAGCACACGAAGGTCTCGGGAGCTCTGGCCCCAGTCTGTCTCAGGGTTCACGGCCCCACAGGGTGCTGCGACACTGTGGGAGCCCTTGTTTGTCTAGGGCCGTCGGCTGAGCTTCGGGCGTCACTGGACACGGCTGTTGCTACCACGGTTCTTTTATTTCTTCAACTTCCGCTCTTAGTGCAAAAACCCCACTCACCCGTCTGGGTCTCTCTCGTCTTCTCATTCCAGGGAGATGAGCTTCAGAATATTCCAGGGGAGCAGGTGACGGAGGAACAATTCACAGACGAACAGGGCAACATTGTCACCAAGAAGGTGAGTGCAGCACCTCTGAGTTGGGGAGAAGCTGGTGGGATTCAAAGCTGAAAGGCAGAGGAACTCAATACACGCCTGCTTCTTGCTGCTGCCCTAACGGGGGGGGGGGGCAGGCTGTGGCCACCACCTCAGTGATTCGGGGTAACTCGGGAGAGCTGAGACCTGTGGGTCCTCTACAGTCGGGACACTGAGGGCCTTATAACCTCAACGCTTAACTCAGCATGAACAGTTCCAGCTGCCCTATTCCAGAAAGATAGTTCCCATGAAACATACAGCTCTAGTCCTGTGAAGGTTGGCCCTGAGATGAGCTATTAGAGAACAGGAAACTGTTCCCAAGACCTCCCTTAGCAAAAAGGGTGTAGGAACTCATCAAACTGACGGCACACATCCATCAGCATGATAGGTTCGCGTTGCCTGGCAGGCATTGCCCCATAAGGCAAAGGAAGAAAGCAGGAGAGGGAGCGTGTGTGTTTCACGAGGGCTGCCGTTCGCATAGGGGGCCACGGCCCCTATCTGTCCTTGCCCCTTCCTAAGGGCCTGAGACATGATGTATGTTCATCTCCCATCCTGGATAACTGAATACGGAGCAGGTGAGTGGAGCAGACACAGAGAGGAGAAGGTTGCCTCTGTCCTTAGGCATTGGAGAGAGATGATCGTCAGCACAAACTTCTATTCTGAGAAGCAGAATGGGATGCTGAAGTAGCATAGCTCATGGCCAAGCCAATGGTGGATGAAACCTGCCCACGGTACTCGCCAAATTCAGGCTCCCCTGACATTCCCCATAAAGGACTGTGGAGAAAGGCTTCTTCTTGGCCCCTGATGGACGAGAGACAAGAGGCCATTGCTTCTCCCCCTGATGTCACCGCTGGGGCCTTGTTCTTCTCAGACTTTGTCCTGATGGTTTGCCCAGCCCTCCTTCTCTTCCTCTCTTTTCCAGATCATTCGCAAAGTCGTCCGGCAGGTAGATTCCTCCGGTGCCATCGACACCCCGCAGCACGAGGAGGTGATTGTTGAGGGGCCCCTGGCGGAGCCTGGGGAGCTGGAAGATGATATTGAGTCCTTTATGAGACTTACTAAGGTACTGAGGCGCTGCAGGCCCCTGGAGGCCGCAGCGATTCGCCTCTCCTCCCCTCTGCTCCGGTCTGCACATGCTGGCCTTTGGTGACCTTTCCGGGACGGTGTTCCCACATCCTTCTCGCGTCCCTTTTCATCTTCCGCCTCTTTTTTTCTAGTCTGCCTATGTGATTCCTACTTTCTGTCTCTGGTGCTGTCTGTCTCCAGGTGGAGCTGAGAGGGAGTGGACTGCAGCCGGACCTGCTAGAGGGCAGGAAGGGGGCTCAAATAGTGAAGCGGGCCAGCCTGAAAAGGGGCAAACAGTGATCTCTCCTCGAGTAGCCCCTTGGGAGGTAACGGTGGCTTTTCTTGTCCTTCCCGGCATGGTCCTTGATGAAGTAGCTGCTTGCTTCTCCCCACCCCATTCCTTATACCAGCCACAGTTCAGAGCCACAACCCGACTCTCAGACTCCCACTCCCCAAACTAGTCTGTCTCTGCCCCCCCCCCCGGATTTCTTTTCAAGCAGATACATTTCCTTTGACACAGATCTGCTGGAGAGTACACAAATTCAGGGCCTTGGTTTTATTTTTGCTTGTTTATATTTTCTTTTGTCTTTTTTTTTTTTTTTTTTTTTTTGGCTGTGTTAATGATGGAGCCCAGAGCCTCATGGATTCTAGGTATGGATTCTGCCTCTGAGCCACACCTCCAACCCCTGTACAATTTATTTTTAAACGGAGTCTCTCTATAGAGCCCTGGTTGTCCTGGAACTTGCTATGTAGTCCAGGCTGGCGTCTAACTCACAGAGATCCAGTTGCCTCTGTGCTGGAACTAAAGGCGTGTGTCACCACGCCCAGCTGTCCCTGTACAGTTTTAAAATAGGGCTTTGAAGTGTGAAACCAAGCAGTGGGCTCTAAAGTTGGTGGCCAGGACGCTGCAGAACACACAGGGACAGTGTCAGACCTGTGATGTCTCACTATGTGTGGCCAGAAAACATGCCAGGCCTAAACCCTAAGCCCCGCTAGGGTCTAACCTACCGTAGCTTCAATTCTCTTCTGTGAACAAGGCTGCCCCCTTTGATGTCTAAGAAGGAGCTAAGTCAACAGGCCCGAGGGTGGGTGATATCGTCTCTGAAAGTCAGGAGGGTCTTCATTGCTAAGGGCTCCACTAGTGCGTGACGGGTACGTGCCAGGGCGGTGGGCCGAGGAGGGGTGGGCCAGGGTATGCAGTGAAGCTCTCCGGCAGGCTGCAGCGTGAGAGCTTTGGCAGCCAGCTCTGACCTTACCCTCCCTGAGGGGTCCTGTACTGAGCTGCCCCGAGGTCCTTCATTGTGCTCAGCTCGGGGCAGCTCAGTACAAGACGCATCGGGGTGGGAGACAGCGGGGAGCAAGGAAGCGTCACAGCCCCCTCCCCCTATGCCCAGCACCTACCGGGTTATTACCCCCCCCCCCCCAGAACTCTCAGGGCCCAGCTCCAGAGCCAAGTAGCAAGCAGTCACTGGTTTCATGTATTCTGCAAAAAGCAGGGCCCACACTGCCTCCCGGGCCATCAGAAGTGCTGACTTGGTGCTTCCCAACATATCTCAGCACTTGGGTAAAAATGAGGATTGGCAGAGCTGATAGGAGAGTAAAATTAGCCCTGACTTCTCAGCAGCTTTAAGGAGGTCACAGCATTAACCCTGGCACTGCCGGGAGGGTGGTCCTGCCTGACTGTTGACTTAAAGGCCAGGATCAGCTCTGATGTGCACTTCTGTTTGACTCGGATTTGACCAATGTCCTGAACAGGAGGAGGCAGGTAGCAAGAAAGCAGGGCGGGAGGAAGAGAATGTTTTCATTAATCGGCTGTCGCTGATCTACAAAGACGTTAAGATGCCCCTCCCCCACACACACACACACACACACACACACACACACACACACACACACACACACACACATACACAGAGAGAGAGAAAGAGAGAGAGAGAGAGAGAGAGAGAGAGAGAGAGAGAGAGAGAGATTAGATTACCCACCAGACCTCATGAGTTTAGGAGTCAGGAATTCTGGGCAGCCTGGTTCTGGGACAGTGCTGAGCCCTCTGCCAACAAAAGGCAAAGGGAGGTACTACGTGCCCGGGGTGGCAACACCGAAGTGAGTGGGGCTGCAGGCTCCTGCCAGGTCCATGAGGGTTGAAGGGCAGCAGCGGGAATGCTCTGTCCTCAGCAGGAAGCTAGTGAAGGGGCTTCAGGCTCTGCTCCTACCATCATACTGTATGATTATTACAATCATACTGCCCCCACCTCACAGGCCGTCCGGCCAGTCCTCACTGTTCCTCCTGATTTCCCTACTTGCTAAAAGTTACTCGAAATCCGAAGGCAGCGCTGGGTGCTCCTGTGCTCAGTCCTTCACAGACACACAGATGAGGGTGACCCCTGAGTGAATGGCGTGCGTATTTCCCGCCTCCGCCTTGTTCCAGTTTTATACTATCCTTTATTTTTTTTTTAATCTGTCTAGTGCCACAGCGCATTTTTGTGCTCTTCCGTGGGTATCTCACTGTTTTTGTTGAAGTTCTGTCTATCCAGGGAAGATGAGTTTTTAAAGCTTCCCAGGGGCTCCGGCGTTAGTGGAGATGAGGTCAGTGTGAGTGAATGACCCATATACACCTGCAATCTGGCATCTTTAAACAGAAATACACACACAACATTCAATATGCATATGGTGATATAGTCATTCAAACAGAAAGACACATACAACATTTAATGTGCACATGGTGATATAGTCGTTGGTTGAGGAGAATGTGACCAGAGACTGACAAGAACCTAGCCTTATGCTTCCCTGGTGAGCAATGACTCAGTAGTCACTGTTCACACTTTATATGTTCCTACTGTTCATCCCATGTTCATACTTTATAAACCAGAGCTACTGTGAATAACGGGAAGCATCTTATTTGTTTCCAAGCATGAAAGCCAGCCTTGGGATCTAGAGTTAAGGCCTGGATCCCCCTCTTCCCACCCTAAGTCACTCATATCCCCAACTTCCTACTCAAGGAAAGATGAAAATAGTCTCTTCTGAATATGTGTTATATATCCATAAAAAACATGTGCAGAACTGGGTGTGGCTCAGCGGTAGAGCACCTGCTCAGCATGCCAGAGACCCCCAGGTTTCAGTCACAGCACAGGTGTGGCGGGTGCACAAATAATTAACCATGAGAGGTGTTGTGTCATGAGGAGTAAATAAAGGCGTATGTACTGTGGCATTCAATTAGTGGCAGATTTTATTTGTATTGTGACTCAGGGCAAGTCAATTGACCTTCCTTAGCCTCAATGTTTCTGTCCATGCATAGCAATAATGCCAGTTTTTTCCTTGTAGAGCTGCTGTGTGGTAACAATTGTGCTTATTTTAGGGAAAGGGCTTTACATAGTGAGAGCTCAACAATACCCTTTCTCAGAGTGTTGTCCACATCCCCTCCTAAAGCATTCTGGGGTCTTAAGACACAGACTCCTGGGCTGGGACATAGCTTAGGAATAGAAGCTAGCTATCCTGTAAGAATTTCCGTTCTCTGCTGTAGGATGATTATTATGCATATTGCAAGTTGAGTTGTTATGACTGATTTTGAGCCTTCTCTTTAAACTTCTCTCAATCAAATAGCCTGGTTATAAGGATCATATCTAAAAAGTGGCCGAAATGGAGGATAGTGAACTTGTTTAGAGAGGTAGAGCGCCCACTGGGAGGACTCTGCAGCCTGGTGAGCAGTGTATTGCTGAGCCTTGTTCTGATGCTAACCATCGTGCCCTGCGTTGGAAAGGCCGAGAGAGTGAAGAGGCAGGCTGAAGGAGTGGAAAGTTGCTGCTTAGTCAAGGCTCAGGGCACATGGCAGCAGGCGGCAGGGTGTGTACCACACCTAAGTGTTAAGGTGCCAGGACCGTTGGGAAGACTGGCACACAGACAGTGATGCAGCCTTGAAAGGGTACTAGTTCTTGATACCCTCTGCATGTGCATGGCTGCACCCTCCAGGACTCTCCAAGGTGCTGAGGGAGGAAATGGCTCTGTCTTCCTTTTATGGGATGCTTTCCATGCAAACATGGTTTCAAGACTTATCCAAGCTCGGACAATAGAATATTTTAATAAATCCGATCTGTTTCGATGGGAGGATGTAGGGAGCCATGCTCGGTTTTGCTTTGTTTCAACCCAGAATCTGTTCTCATATCCAGCCACTTCAAGGACATCAGAGTGAGAGGTAGAAGGAGATGGTAAGAGTTGTGACATCAGTGTGGAGGCAGGTACCACAGCAGAGAGAAAAGAGGTGCGAGGTCCTGGCCACAGGGGCACTCTGGGCACACCGGAGGGGCCGTTTCCCAAGCTTTGGAAGGATGGGCCTTTTCCAGAGAGTGGCCAAGGGGAGGAGGTACGGTGTCAGGAGAAATCCTGCCTATAGCCTGAAGGCTCATGTTACCTCACCCCTGCTCCACCAGCTGCTCCTGTCTCTGTTCCGCTTGAGTCTCAGTTTACCCAGAAACAAATGGGGTGTCCATTCCAAAAGGATCTCTCAGGCTTGATCTTTCTCCTCTGCTTGGGACCTGGCAGTAAAGAAGGTGGGAAATCATAGCCCGTGTGTCTAGAACAGCAGATCTCACGTTGTCTCTCATTGGAGGAATGCTTAGCTCCAGGGTAGGCACTGTAGGGAATGTGAAGAAGGGGCTCCCACCCAAGTGCTCATTAACGAGCCAGAGCAGCCACACAGCTGCTTAGAAGAAAACACCACTTAGGCAGCTGCGCTTCTCAAGAGCCAGGTACTCACAAGCCCAGAGTGCTCCCTGCCCAGAGTGCTCCATAGACCTGTCATTAGCGCATTCACGCATCGCAGGGATCTAATGTGGCAGGTCCTGCTGCGGCTCCCATTTGACAGCAGAGGAAACTGAGTTGAGGAGCAGCTAAGTAAGTTGGCCACAGTGAAGCAGCAGCCGATAACAACAGAAGCAGGATTAAACGGGACCAGTCTGGCCTCAGAATTCCTGCTCTTGACCTTGGCACTCTACAGCGAGCATCTCTTAACGAATGGGTAGTGGTGGGAAGGGATGACCTGAAGTGCTGGAGGACAAGTCTGAAGCAGGACAGAAGTTGAGGAGGGGAGACGACAGCCTGGAGGGGAGAGCTGTGGCCTAAAGCAGAGAGAGGGGCCATGGGAGCACGCAGTCTAGAAATGGGACTGAAGGAGAAGGCAGCCTTCTCAGAAGAGGCAGAATCTCACTTTTCAAGTGGCAGCTCTCTTCCACCCAGCAAAAGTGCTTGGCTTTTAGTTTTCATAGCTCGAGGCAAGGCATTTGGCCTCCCTTCCCTCCCCTGGGGAACCATCCAGGGATGAGTCACATTGGTCATGCCCAATATACCTCCCCAGCTCTGTCACCTACAGAGCCCAGGACAGCTCCATGCCTGGAACAGCTCTGCCTCAGAATGGCTTCCAACCTTTGTGTGCCACTTCCCAGAACACCATCAACTCTCACCATCTTAATGGCCTCCTCGGCCATGCCTGGTGGATCACACCTGTCACCTCCACACTCAGGATGCTGAGACTGGATGATTGCCGTTAGGCCAATCTGGGATAAATAATGAGTTAGGAGCTAGCCTGGATTAAAGAATGGGCCCCTGTCTCAAAAAAAAATAAAGAAATGTCCTTCTCTTCTTCACCAGCTCCTAGGTCCCCATAGATAGAACATTTAGAAGACATGAAGTTATCTGGGCGTGATGGCATCTGCCTGAAATCCCAGCACCTGGGATGCAGAGGCATCCTGGGATGCAGAGGCAGGAGGTTGGAAGTTTCAGGCTAGTTTGAGCTGTGTAACAAGACTTTGTCTCAGAAAAGAAAAATTAAGAAAAGAGGAAGGAAGGCAAGAAGGAGGCAGGCCTCTCAGCAGGCTGGAAGGTAAGACCATGGGGGGCAGGACTGGTGCCTTGCTGTGAATCACGGCTGCCAGGTTTGGACTTCACATGCAAAGCTGTTCCTTCCCAACTTGAGATGTAATATTATAGAGAGAATGTACCTGCCTTATGAGATCTCTCTACCACAGAGTCAGTCTACGCATGTGAACAGGAGCCAGGGGTACCTGACAGTGAGAGTCTGTGGATAAGAGCCAGGGGAGCTTCAAGATCATGAGTTCCAAAGACCAGAGCTTCAAGGTCATGAGTTCCAAAGACCAGAGCTTCAAGGTCATGTGTTCCCAAGACCAGAGCTTCATGGTCATGAGATCCCAAGACCAGAGCTTCAAGGCCATGTATTCCCAAGACCAGAGCTTCATGGTCATGAGATCCCAAGACTAGAGCTTCAAGGCCATGTGTTCCCGAGACCAGAGCTTCATGGTCATGTGTTCCCAAGACCAGAGCTTCAAGGTCATGAGTTCCTGAGACCAGTGATCTTGTCCAGGGCAGGCATAGAGCAGACATCAGTGTTGTGGGCCCACCTGAACTGAGAGCGTAGATGCACTACAGCCTAGCCTAGCCTTTTTCTTGGCATAGGACCCATCACAGAAAAATGGTCACTTTTTAAGCACAAGAATCTACTCTGTAGATTTTCTCCCAACCCCCTGGCAGCACATCACCTTCTCTGGCCCCCTGTGTAAGGTTCTAAAGAGCTCATCCACTCTGTACTAAACAGTGGAGGCTGGCTGGCTTCGTAAGATGAAGCACCTGGGTAGAGAACAGGGAAGGGTGGGTGGTGTTTGGGGTCGGTCTCTGCCACGACACTCTCAGCTCACTGCTTTGCTTGGGGATCCTGCTTCTCCTGGTCTGCCCTGCCTAAGAAGGAAGCACAGGACTCTTGAGTGACTCCTTTTTCTGTGTCCTGCAGGATCACACCTCAACACCCAAACCCTGAACTCCACACACTCTGTCATGCACACGGAAGGAGACCTGGACCAGAGGGCTACTGAAGGGTCGCACGTGTCCTAAGATCCCGGCATGACCTCTGTAAGGGGCTTCCTTTAGTCTCGTATCCGCATGAATGACTGGCTGTAGACGCATGACCTACAGTCTCCAGTCCTGCCTCTAGCGACTATGGATCTCTGTGGGAATCAGGACAAAGGCCGCAAGAAGAAGGGAGAGGAGGAGTGAGGGAGAGCAAGCAAGCCCCAAAGAGCACATGGGTGCAGACGTGAATAAGGGCTCTACTGTGGCTGGGGTGGTTGGTTAGCGTTTGTTTGCTTTGTTTGTTTGTTTGTTTTTGATTTTGACTTCGACCTCATTTGTAAGAACCTCACATGATCATTCTGGAACGGGAACACTGAAAACTGGGTGTGAAATCAGTTTAGCACCATCGCCCCATATCCTCGTGTGTCCGTCTCCCACGCCTGCACACAACACGTGCCACTTGTAACAACCTCCCCTGCCCCACTTCCCGGTGAAGGGACTGCTCTTCCCAGAATGACATGACACAGGTGCACACATGCAGGTCTCCCCTTCACTCAGTCCACACTGATTTTACTGTGACCTCTGAAGCTGTATGGATAAACTGGATATATATATATTTTTTATGTTGTCACTCAGTTTCAGTATTTAATCATCTTCCAGAAGAAATCATTACCCTGAGAGTGCATTCGGGGTTCCTTGTGTTTAGAAATTTGAAAAGTGAGGCAAGGAGCCCCCCAGATTTGCTGTAGGGCTCAAAGGGAGCCAGGGCCCCATCTCAAAGTTCTCTGCTGGGGAAGGGCCTGTGGCTGTCTGAGGATTGCACCAGCATGTTCAATGGAGAGGAGGTTTTCTAAATCGTCAAGCACTTCTATAATAGTCTGTGTTCAAAGTGTAAACTGTACAGTAATCAGCCTTGTGTATATGAAAACAATAAATACTATGCAAACCAATAGAAACACGTTAGCAGTATGTACAAAGCCCTCAACAGCTCAGCTCCCGAGGAGGACTTCTCCAGGCTGTGGGAGGAGCTCAAGGCTGTCTTCCACTGAAAGAGGAAGGGAGTAGGGCTGTGAATGTACCTGCCAGTTCCTAGGTCAGACCACCCTGAGGTCTCCCAGAGCCAACTTGGTGCTTGAAGTGCAGGTGGCCGCAGGCTGGAGGTCCTGGCACAGACACTGGGCTCAAGCTCCGACCACCGGCCCAGCGCAAGGAGAGCCGGAGCAGGATAGAGCTGCTGACCAGGAGGAGGCTGAGGAGAGACCCTCTTCTATCTAGACTCAGGGCCAGGCCAGGAAGGGACCCCTCAACTGGCTGGTCTTGCCTTGGAGCCCTCAGGGAAGAGCCTTAACGTCACACTAGAGTCTCCTGCAGAGGGAGGCCCGAATCAGCACAATCCGGCTCCGCCTTGCCCGGGCGGCGCCCCCTAGGGCCAGGAAAGAGACTGGCAGGCTCTTCTCGCTCTCCAGGAGCCACTGGTGGACGGCGCGGTCACCTTCCTCGCCTGCCGCTCTTCGGAGGGGCGTGGGGGGTGTCGTCAGGACACAATAAAAACCTTCCAAGTAGCACAGACGCCCCTCCATGCCCGTGCCCCCACGCCCTGGAGGCTCGCCCCGGGGCTCCAGCCGGCGTGCGCTCCAGCCCCGGGCGGGTGTAGGGAATGGGGGCGGGGGATGCTGTAGTCCGCGGGCGGCCCCGGGAGGGCTGGGCGGGCGAGGACCGGCGCGGGGTCGCCCCGCCTCGCCCCGCACCCTCTCTGTTCCAGGCCGCCGCCCCAGTAGCGGCTCTTAGCGCCCCGCGCGGCCCGGCTCCGCTTTGGCACCCTCCGCTCAGACTGGCTTGGCTGCTTGGCACGCTGCCCCCCGCCCTCGGCGGCATGGCTGCGCGCTCCCGTTGCTAGTAGGAGCTGTTTAGGAGGAGTTTGGGGTCTCCACTTGATGCCTAGAGAATGCTGCAGTCTGCACCTTAGACGCTTTTTAGAAGTTTTGAAATGACCTTGATTTTTTTTTTTTAATTGTTATGAAAAACGAACTATGTCTTGGCTCTCTCACATGCTCTGTTCCTGAGAGAGACCACCCCTCCCTACTCTGATGTATAGACCGTTCTCCCTACACCAGCTAAACAAATGTCAAATTAATAAAGAAACTGACTCATGACACAGGTCTCCATCTCCCCTTCTTGGCTCATCTTTGAGAGTTTGAGGTGCTGCGGCAGGGGTGTAGCCTGGTGTGGAGTGTGATGGAGTCTGGTGGGTGGCATCAGGAGACACCTCTCTCTGCCCCTAAAAGGAGTCCACCAACGCCCAGCTCCTGGAAAGCCTCTTAATCAATACCACCCTCCCTAGAAGCCCCCAGAAAGAACTGACAAACCCGCCATCGAGAGACCAGAAGAGGAGGGGGCGGTACTGACCCTACAAACCAGAGAACCTGTCCCGGCAGGCAGGAGACATTCACCAAGGGAAGCTGCCAGACTCTGCCTTCGCTAGAGAGAGGAAGTGATCCCTGCTCCAAAGTAGTTTCCAACACTTTGCGCAAAGCTGAGCTCCACACTGGTGGTGGTCCCCACTTTGTCACATGGAGAATAAACAGTGTCCCTTGCATTTGTCGCCTGAGGTTACCAGACAACACACCCTTATCGGCTCTAGCGTTAAATAAGAGTTGAATCATTTGCAGCAAATGTCCGTCCTAACTTCTCATATTAGGGGGTGACCAAATCTTTGTCCTCCAAATCTCTGGTGCACGTCAGTCCCACTCCAGCCCAAGCTCTCAGTCAGACCCTGGAAGCCCAGCAAACACTCGCTCCTGCACTTGTATTCCCCAGGGGGGCTTTGAAACACTTGGTTGGGTGGCTTGTCTGGGAATCTGGAATAGCTGGCGCATGGCCTGGGGCCAACCTAACTAACGTAAACCATTAAGAACTTTTCCCTGAGGGCTTAAGTCCAGGCAGCTGAGGAGTGTGGTCATCCAGACAGACAAAGATGGGCAGGTGAGAGCGGACATTAACCAAAAATTAAGAAAAACTGGAGAGAGAATGTTTCAATAGTTGCTGAGCACTAAAATCAGTTGAAGGCACACGGTAAAGAGGTAATTTAAAAAAAGGACTTGAACACATTATGGTTGATGACTTAGCGGCTAAAATCACTCCGACAGGGAGAGCCCCCATTCCTGATCGGGTAAGAAGGAACTTCCATGAAGAATAAGAACATCACTTGCTCCGTGGGCCAGGCTTCAGGGGTAAACTAGAATGTGGTTTTTGTGGGTTTGGTTCTGAAAGTAAAACTGGTCATAAATTAGAAATCAATTTCCCAAAATAAAGTCCTTCTTTTTGTACAATGCTTAAAAAACAAACAAACAAAAACCCACTTTTTCTCAGGCTGAAGAGATGGGTGTCAAGAAACCTGTCTTTGGTTCCTAGCACCCACGTTGGGGGGCTCACAACTGTTTTTAACTCCAGCCCCAGGGGATTCAGCATCCTTTTCTGGACTCCTCAGGTGGACCCGGATGGATGCGCGTGCGCGCGCGCACACACACACAATCTTTAAAAAAAAAGAACTCTTTTTCATGATTTTTAAAATCCAAACTTGCAAAAAGAACACGTCCCCTTTATAAAATTCCTTTCTATTCCCTCATCCAAATCACCAGCGCCATAGATAGCACTGCTGACATCACAGTCAAATTGTTCTTGGCAGACCAGCCTTCCCCACCTCAGCCCTCTGCTCAAAGAAGGCTAACTAAGAAAAGACTCTCATCTCTCACCTGTGAAAACACAGACCCCCAAACAGTAAGAGTGACTTCCCCAAAGCCCAAGTGGCTGGATCAGGAAGAGCTCATCAGGACACTCAAATCTTGTCCCTGTCATTTCATATTTTGGGAGAGTGACTTCAGGAAAGATTGCTGAATCTAGAGAATAACCTAGAAGGTGAGCCCTCATTCCCCTGTGCCTCAGTTTCCCTGTCGTCAAATGAGAGATCACCCCCATAAGAACCAGCAGATTGCAAAAAAAGAAAAAAATCCATCAGAAACGAAGCACACAGTGCTCTTATATTCAGTTTAAGTCCCAAACCTCAGCCCAACTGCCCTGCTTAGGACCCTGCCTCAGGAACACGGGGCCTCTCACGTGAGAAACTTCACCCAGGGCACCAGCCAGCCAGAAGACTGAGGAAGCCAAGGCAGACTGGCAGAAACAGGAACATTTGCACAGCCACCCCTCTACAGCCTCAGGAATGCCCCCTCACACCCTCAATCCCACACCCCTGCAACTCTAGGAGCTGCTGCATGGCCCACTCCCCAAGCCATTCTGTGAGAAGTTCCCCACCCCAGGTCCTCAGGTCCGATAGATTTGCATTACCCCAGAGCAGATCCTGCTCAGCCCCCACCCCCACCCCCACTTACCCTGTCCTGGAGGAGGAAGGGAATCATACAGGGGCAGCTTGGGACGGTGACCTCTGAGCCAGTCCTCCGCTCCCTCAAGGGAGCAAGCAAATAAAGACTTCGGCAGGAGCCTCCAGTCCCTACCTCCAGACACCCACCTTTTCCTAGATACTGGACTTGGGTAACCAAGTGGAGCACACACAGGGCGTCTAGAGCTAATTCTTTCACACATGCACACGACACACACACACACACACACACACACACACACACACACACACACATATACGGACGGGCTGATTTACAGTCAATCTTTCAAAGTGCAATTTGTCTAGGAGAAGCCAATGTGAGGCCCATGTGGGCTCCAACCAATGGCCGCACAGCGCTCACAGCTCAGCCAGTCTCAGGTCTGTATTCTAATGGGCCATTTCTTTATCAAGGAAATGTCCCTTCTCTGAACTTAAAACTTCTGATGGAGGGCCCCCAGACTCAGAGGCAGAGAAATCGGGCGCTCTGAATATGGGGAGCACCCCTCCTTAGACCCAGCTGGTGGAGGGGGAAAACGGAAGGCCTCCCACCTTCTCTGGACACCTGACTTCCGTGCCCCATCTCTAAGGAAGGGCCGAGCCAGAGGACAGTGAGAGGCTGGGGTGGGATGGGGGGACTCTGATTCTCCAAACCTGCCCTGAGATTCTGGACCACCATCTGAAGCGTTCGGGCTTTAAGGGCTCCTCGCCCTCCTACTCGCTGGCCTGGAGACCATGGAGTCCAACCTGCAGGGGACATTCCTCCTGAACAACACACAGCTGGCCCAGTTCTCGGAAATGAAGGCTCCCATGTGCCAGTACTCGGTGCAGAACTCCTTCTACAAGCTCAGTCCTCCGGGACTCGGCCCCCAGCTGGCCGCTGGGACGCCCCACGGGATCACTGACATCCTGAGCAGGCCGGTAGCCACTCCAAACAGCAGCCTCCTCTCTGGCTACCCCCACGTGGCAGGCTTCGGTGGACTCGGCTCCCAGGGGGTCTACTATGGCCCCCAAGTGGGGAGTTTTTCCAAGGCTGGGAATGAGTACCCCACCCGGACCCGGAACTGCTGGGCGGACACAGGCCAGGACTGGCGAGGCGGCGCTCGGCCCTGCAGCAACCGTGAGTACAGACAGGGCCCTCACCCCGACCCCAGCCTATTCCAGGGAGGAGGCAGGAGGTAGGGGGCTTTCACAGGCTGGGCTGCACTGTGTTCTACCTTACCACAGCCGCCATTACACAGCCCAGCCCCGACACTTGGTCTCTTTGCTCAGCTCACAGCGGAACTGAATTCCACCCTCTCCCACTCTTATCCCACGCCCACCTGCTAGCACAGGTGTCTGAACCCCACCTTACCCACTGCCAGGTCAGTTACCCTTCAGGGGACTTTGGGGTGTTCCAGGCCCCACCAACACAGCCCAGCCCACCCTGGGCAGCATCCAGCTAGCCTCTCAGTTTTCTTCTGCCCAGAGTCATACAACCCCTTCACACAAAGCACGCAAATGCTACCCCGATGAAGGAAAACGTCCTGCACTATCATATCCTAAAGAGCCCAGTTTTGCATGGCACCGTTCCAAGACCCACTGAGGTCCCATCCAGAAGCCGAGACCCATTTACCCACCTTCCTGCTCTGGGTTCATGTCAGCAACGGCTGTGACAACAGCCCAGCCTTCAGGGACAACAGAGCGAAGTTGACCTTGGCCCTGACTGCTGGAGGGGCCCCCTTATCCCAGCCATCCCTCAGACTCAGGTTTCTGAGAACTGGAGTGGAAGGGGTGGATATTATGCCAGTCGGGGATCCAGGAAGTGCCAGGGGCATGTGCTAGTGAGACACACTGGGAGAGGGTGGCAGTGACTTCTAGGGCTTATTGTGGGGCCACCAGAACTCTGGGTGGGATAAACATGTGGCGGGGACAGAGGCAAAGCCCTTTCTGCTTCTCTTTAATCTCCAGCTCCTCCACTGCAGAAGGAACCAATGATGGAAATCCCCAACTCTTGCCCCCCATGTGCCCAAATGACTGCCACCTCCCTCAGACCTCATCTCTTGGAAGCTTTTGTACAATCTAGTTTGGGGTACTATAAGCCCAAACTATTTCTCCCACACCTCTACCCTACACTCCTCCATCCCGTCCTACTCCTCAATCTGGAATGCATGCACACATCAGAAATTAGCCAGGAAAGCCAGTGGCCAGTTTAACACAAGAGGGGCGAGAACTGGAGATGTCAGTGTTTCGGACAGTGGTTCTCAACATGTGGGTCGCGACCCCTTCAGGCTCCACTGGCCTTTCACAGGGGTCACATATCAGACATCCTGCATATCAGATATTTACATTATGATTCATAACAGTAGCAAAATTATGACGTAGCAATGAAATAATTTTGTGGTTGGGGTCCCAGCCTTAGGAAGGTTGGGAACCACTGTCTTAGGAGTGAGTTCTTTCCTCTTTGCTGAAGTCCCCAGCCTCTAATGAGGGCATGGGACACAAGCTGCTGGACTACACTGACTAAGAGCAAGCATATGGGTACTCTGCTTGCTTCGAGCCTCAAGCTCCTTGGTGAGCAGTCAGTCCTGCCTGAGTTTGGGGTCTCCAGCCTCTCCAGATGACTCTGACACTCCAACGCCAGGCTGTATAATAGATTCCAAGAGGTTTAAGGGAGGGTGGGGGCTGCCAGGCTGGCTGCCAGGCAATGCGACACACAGAGGAATGGCATCATGGAGCCTGAAGTGTTCCCCTTCATGCTTTTGCAACAGACCTGGGAGGCCAGGGACTCAAAGCAAGGAAGTGGAAAGGAATTCACAGGCCCCAGGGGTCTGATTGCAGGTGGAAGGTACCCACGCCTGTTTTGGTGAAAGAAAGGGCATTCTTGTCTTGGTATCTTGGCTCAGAAAAGAAATTCCCATGTGTCCCCTGGGAAAGGCAGCATCAGTGAATTATGGGAAAACTAGAAGGGAAGGCACAAGGCCCAGTTCGAAGTCCTCTCTGTCCCAAGTAGCTATAATCTGGTGTAGCTGCCCTCTCGGGGCCCTGTCCACCCAGGTGTGGTAGAGATCACAGTAACTATTATAGAGATGCCAGAAGTGTTGCTCAGCTGGCAGGTGTCACCATGTTCCTGTGACTCAGGGGCTTCTGGGCAGAACACATCCCTGTGGAAGACACAGGACAGGCACCCATCAGGTCTCGACTCACCCTGCTAACCTTCTTCTCCTTCCCCCCGCCAGCCCCAGACCCCCTGAGTGACACCATCCACAAGAAAAAGCACACTCGCCCTACCTTCACGGGCCACCAGATCTTTGCTCTGGAGAAAACCTTTGAACAGACCAAGTACTTGGCTGGCCCGGAAAGGGCGAGGCTAGCATACTCCCTGGGCATGACGGAGTCCCAGGTCAAGGTGAGTCTGTGCAGGAGAAGGTATCCGCCTGGCAGCCGGGCTTCTGCCAGGGCAGGAGGCTTGCCTCCCCTTCTTACCGTAGAGATTATAGTGATTACTAATAGCCCCCCAAATGACAGCTGTCTGCCCAGCCATCTGAGAGCCTGTAAGCAGTACCTCCATTAAGCCTCACCCTGTCTTGAGGTCACTGTTACGGTCCGTTTTACAAATAAAAGGACAGGGACAGTTACTCAAGCCTGGTGCCTATGGTCTTCCAGCTGTTAAGTGCAGAGCTAGACTTGAACTAAGTTCTGTGAGACACTGACCAGCTGGCCTGTTTCCCAATTTTTAAAAGGAAGATAATACACCCTCTGTTTCCACCCAGTGCAGAGGAAGGTGGCAGAGATCAGTCCCGAGCTTCCACACACCTCACGAGCCAGCCACAGCCTCCCTGCTGCCCACCTCCTCAGGCTCCCGGGACAAGCGTTCCCCTCGCCCCACAAGTCCGTGGGGACACAGAAGAAGGAAGCCGTGAGGGCTGCCGGGACATGAAGAAGTGTGAACAGATTAGGGAGGTTCTGGGGGGTGGGCAAAGTGGGACCTACCTCAGCAGATTGTCACAGCCGCGATAGACGGCTGTGGAGTGGAGGCGGAAGGGGCTGACAGCGGCTCCTGCCTCACATTTGGTTGCCTCCTTAGGGCTCCACAGTCTCCAGTCATCTCAAGTACTTAGTGGTCCTGTTGTTTTTCTAGGGGGGAGGGGACAATTATTCAGAAGCTTCCTGGGGATCTGTAAAGCCAAAAGAGGGGCAACTTTATTCATTCATTTCGTCGTTTTGCTTGCCGGAGGTGGGATGGAGGACCAGGGCATGCTAGGCCCCCGGCTCTATCATCACACTGCCCTGGATTCCAGGGAGGAACTCCAGTCAATGGCATTTCAGGGGCATCGGCTCAGATGCCCAGACAGCGTAAGGAGGAAGCTGCAACTCAGGGAGGGTTGCCCCCAGAGGAAAGGGCTGCCGGCACGCTTATTTTTATTTTATTATTTTATTTTATTTTTCTGCCCCCACCCGAGTTATGCAAATGTCAGACTGCTGCACGGTGCAGAGGTGCACGGTCCGTGCATGACTCTGGGGCAGCGAGGGGACCTCCCAGTGGAGCCCGCTCCCGCACCCCGGTCGCTCTTTGCAGGTGTGGTTCCAGAACCGCCGTACCAAGTGGAGGAAGAAGAGCGCCTTGGAGCCCTCATCCTCCACGCCCCGGGCCCCGGGCGGTGCGGGCGGGGACCGCGCGGCCTCGGAGAACGAGGACGATGAGTACAACAAGCCGCTGGACCCGGACTCGGACGACGAGAAGATCCGCCTGCTGTTGCGCAAGCACCGGGCCGCCTTCTCGGTGCTCAGCCTGGGCGCGCACAGCGTCTGACCCCGGGCCCGCCGCGCAGGCCGGCCTTCCCCTCCCCTTTCCGCGCAGCTAGCTGAGGGCTGGGGGCAGAGAAGAGGAGCGCAGGGGGAGGGGGAGGAAAAGAGGAAGGAAAGAGAAAGAGGAGGAGGAGGAGGAGGAGGATGAAGCGAGAGGCAAGGAAGGGAAGGAGGAGAGGGATGATGGTGAGCGCATCAAGGGAGGAGATGGCACATCTTTCTGCCATGTCTCCCCTCTGGGCCCCTTGCCTGGTCAGTCCTGCGAGAAAGTGAGCAGGCTTTTTGCTGCAGGGAACCTGGCTGTGGGGCTCTCCAGATGCGTTGCTTTCCCCCCGAGGGAACAGCCGGTTAGGGAGTCAACAGGTACTGCGCCCAGTTGGCGGCTGTGACTGCAGAGCCGAAGATGGAGCCTGAGGTCCCGGTGTGCTTCCGAGTGCTCCCACTTGTGGGGGCCAGGAGGAAACCCACCTCTGTGAGGGGAGTGGGTTCTGAAAACAGAGACTCTCGTAAAGCTGAGTTTCAGAACCCTGGTGGCTTCCCACTGCACTTTACTCTGAATGTAGATCCCTCTGGAACAAGGAAGACATTGACTGGAAAAGGGAAGTGGGGGAAAGAAGCAGATGAGAAAACCCTGAGGTTTCGTTGTCCCTGGGAGACACCCATCAAGGCATTCCTGGGTACCCAAGGACATCAGAGCTTGGGGGCACCTTAGCAGGAAGGAGAAAAGGGCTCTGAAAGCCACACTCCTCCAACAGGGGCACCAGATGGGGAGAAGCCCAGGCAGGATGAGGGGCTGAGGACTGTTGGGTACCTATTGCATATCCTCTCCTGGACCATCCTGTAGCCTGGCCCTGTACCGGCCCTGTCTTCTGCTCTGGGTATGTTGCGCTCCAGGGAGAGGGTGGGCTGACCATAGAGGAGCGCAGCCCAAAGGAATCAAGGTGTACCCATCCTCACTGGCTTTTAAAACAAAACTAGAATAAAGCTGAAAAATCGCAGAAACCTCCCCGCGGCTCCTGCGCTTCTATGAAGGGAATAATGGCAGTGTTCTCTCATTGTCATGAAATTATCGTTGGGTTGGAGAAATGGCTCAGCTCTTAAAATCATCTGCTGCTCTTCCTGAGGACCGGTGTTGGGTTCCCAGTTACAGGCAGCTCACAACTGCCCTGTTAACTCCAGCTCTAGGTGATTCGACGCCCTCTTCTGGCCCCCTCAGGTACTGCATGCATGCTCACACAATTACAAATAAAAATAAATCTTTTGTAAAATAAATAAATAAATAAATCTAAGAAAGAAAACTGAAGACATCGGCCATAGGCCCAATTGTTATCTTCAGTCACAAAAGGGACTTCTAACAGGTTCTGGGTTTAAGCAAACAAACCCCAAAACTTTCTGGAGACTCATATTCTGTGTATCTCCTTTCCTTCGGCATCACAGATGCTTCAGAGTAAAGGGAAGGGAATAGGCCTGTGCTCAGCACAGCCACAGCACCTTCCCTAACAGGCACCTCAGGCACTAATAGGTGAGCCCGGGTTTTGGGGCACAGTTCTCAAATGTGTCATTCATATTAGAAGGGCCTGGGTCTCCAGGCGGTAGTGGCACACGCCTTTAATCCCAGCACTCAGGAGGCAGAGGCAGGCGGATCTTTGTGAGTTCGAGGCCAGCCTGGTCTACAGAGCAAGATCCAGGAAAGGCGCAAAAAAAGAAGAAGAAGAAGAAGAAGAAGAAGAAGAAGAAGAAGAAGAAGAAGAAGAAGAAGAAGAAGAAGAGCCTGGGTCATGCACCCAGTGAAGGGTTTCAGATTAGGGGTTCAAGAACACTGAAGTGGCCTGCTATGTTAAGTAAATGACGTATTAAGAGCGTTATTAATGCCACAAAAAGACAGCATAGTGAGAGCTGAGTGGAGTTCGGGCCCATGAGGCTAAGTGCAGGTCCTGTCTAGATTTCAGGAGATGGGGGTCCCATGAGAGTGGTTCTCAACCTGTAGGTCACTACCCTTTGGGGGGTCAAATGACCCTTTCACAGAGGTTACCTAAAACCATTGGACAACACAGATATTGATATTTACATTACAATTCATAACAGTAGCAAACTTACACTTATGAAGTAGCAACAAAAATAATTTTATGGTTGAGGGTCACCGCAGTATGAGGAACTGTATTAAAGGGTCGCAATATCTGGAAGGCTGGGAACCACAGTCCCATGCCACATAATTGATAAGTATCCCAGTGTGTGCTGGCAGGCAGGTTGTCTCTGATTCCTGAGAACAGTGGGGTAGAGGGAGGTTCAGCCCTTTAGGGGATGGGTGCTCATCACACCTACCACCTGTAGCCCTGACAGCTGAGGCATATAATCGTCCTTAAGGGGAAGGGGGGCTTGTAGATGCAAAGACAGCTATGGCAGGGTGCCAGCCACATCTTTTACTGCACCCATGAGGGTAAAGAGAGGGGAAGACCTGAGTAGTCTCAGCTCCAACCTAACACTCAGCAGGCCAGGAGGGGATAGGTCGCTGCTGATGTCTTGTCACATTCAGAATGACCATACCCTGACAACAACTGTCAAAAAGAGGGGGCAAATAGTGAGTTCCCACTTCCGGAACCCGGCCCCATGCTCAGGCCATCCTCGGGTTTGATCTTGGAACTTCAGCACCCTCCCAGGCGGCACAGGACAGAGAGGCCAGTGGACTGAGCTCTGCCATTCTCTGCATCCTTGGGTGGACTGTTCAACCTCTGGGACTCAGTTTACTCATCTGTAAGCGGAATAATAATTAGGCCTACTGTGTAGGGTTGAGTAAGATTAGAATCGTGAGCCTGGCATGGCAGAGCAGGTCTTTAATCCCATCACTCCAGAGGAAAAGGCAGCTGAGGTCAAAGCCAGCCTGGTTTACATAACAATTCCCGTCTAGCCAGGACTCAATTAAAAAGAGGGGCAAAAATGAATTTAAAAAATTCTTAATAAAAAAAGGAAAAAAAGATAATTATAAAGAAAAAATAAAATAAAAACATCCCTGGTGGTTGGGGAAAAAAAAAAGAGGGGCAAATACTGGCTTCCACTTCAGGAAGATAGCGAGACCCTATCTCGGGATAAAAACAAAACAAAACAAAACAGAAAAGGAAAGAAATAAAATGAGTGTACCTGGCAGATCCAACAGGAAATAGCCGTTCTCAACCATTGAGAGACACTTTGGAAACCCTGCTTGTGTCTCTTACAACATTGGTGGGTTGAAACTTGACTCCCTGGGTGACAGGACTAAGGAGTGAAGCCTTTGCGGGGTGATCTGCCCAGGAGTGCTCCACCCTCATGCATGAGATTGGTGACCCTCCTTCTGCCTCTTCTTCGAAGTGAGGACCTAGCTCGAGTTACCATCTTAGAAGCAGAAATGAGTCACTGAACCTGGTGGCACCTTGATCTTTAGATTTCTAGTCTCCAGCTCCGAGAGTCACCCAGGCTCAGGCACTGGGGTATGAAGGACACAGGGCTGAGTGTGGCTCCCCTCCCACTTTGGCAAGTGGTAACTGGAGCCTTGTGACCAAGTCAGTTCATTTCTCTACAAGGCTGGTGCCCAGGCTGTAGAATGAGGCTGCAAGTCCCATCCTGTGAGATGATGGGATCCAGGGAACTGTGCTCCGAGCCCAGAAGGCGTTAGTACTGTACATCCTACTCTTCCTCTTCCAGTTCACACCAGTGGTCAAGGCTGGAACACATGGACAGTCACAGCTACTGGCTCCTTTATGTGTTCAACCTCCCTCCATGGGTTGGCTGCTGCCTGGGGGTCATGGAAGTCTGCCTGGTGGCCAGGTCCACATCACCAAAAACTCTCTTGGAACTCTGGACTATAGCATCAACTGCAGCTTGTGGGTGTACATTCTTGGATGCAGTGTTTTTACTGAACCTGTAAGTAATCCAGTAAGAACCCCGCCCCTTACCATTTCCCCACTCAACACTGGGAGTCCACAATGTCACCTCACCTGCCTGGTCACCACAGGCTTCTGTGGCTGTGCGTGCTGCTCTAGGCTTCACTCAGTACCAGCGGGATGCCACGGGGGTTCTTGCTTGTCCCCTGAAATGCCATGGTCTAGGGTGCAAAAAAGACCCCAGCACTACCTGCAAAGGACTATTGCAAGGGCTCTGTTCCCTTCAGCCAGTGTGGGAAACTGAGTCACCCTGGGCTCCCACAAGCCAGTCGCCTTCCAGCTGCGGCAGGTGGCTGGCATTGCTGTCCTCCAGATGAAGAGGCAGAGACATGGGCTGGCACACTCTGGGCACATGAGTTCATCCTGCTGTCTCAATGGCACGCTCCTGTCTCACTGTATTACTGGTTCTGGAATAACGTCTAACTCTGTGATGTCTCCTGGGCTGTTCTAGGTGTTTCCCTTATCTCACTTCACGTTCAAAAATCATTAGTGGGGAGGCTAGAAAGATGGCTCAGAGGTTAAGACCACTGACTGCTCTTCCAGAAGACCCAGGTTCAATTCCCAGCACCCACATGGCAGTTCACAACTGTCTGTAACTCCGGTTCCGGGGAACTGGACACTCATGTCAAAACACCAATGCATATAAAATAAAAATAAATAATTTTAAAAATCCTTGGGGATAAGTGTCCCATTAGACTCCCTTTATAACTTATTGGTGGTGAGGAACTGGAGAAGTCAGGCAACTTGCCGGGCATTATCCTGATCAAACCCAGGCTGACTCTGGAGCATCCACTTTTAACTACAATTAAAAAAAAAACAAAAAACCAAACACAATGGTAAAGAAGAAGAAGAAGAAGAAGAAGAAGAAGAAGAAGAAGAAGAAGAAGAAGAAGAAGAAGAAAAAGAAATGAAACTTTATATAACAAAAATAGAATAAAATTTCAGAATGCCCTGGTAGCAAACACCTGTAATCCCAGCACTTGAGAGGCCGAGGCAGGGGAGTAGGAGTTGGAGATCAGCCCACATTTTCACTGTCAGCGCTTGCCTTCACCAGATGAGAAATTCAGAAGCAGCTTTTTCTGTAGAGAGCAAGAATAACTGTGTACAAAGTAGAGAAGAAACCGATTACGTGACAACCTTTGTGTAATAAAATTTTGTCTGGATTTTTTAAAAAAGGAACAGCCTAAGCTATAGGGTGAACATTTGTCTAAAAGAAAACAAATCATAAGCAAAAAACAGCTGGATGAAAATCAGGGCTGGGATACAGCTCAGTGATGGAGGACATGCTCAGCATTCCGGCCTGGGTTCAATCCTCAGCACCAAAGCTAAGTAAATAAAGGCAAGATTAAGAGAATAATAACACTAAGACCAGACAGAGGGAGGGCCAATTGAATATACATACACACACACACACACATACACACACACATTCACATGTGTGTGTGTATGTGTGTGTGCATGTGTATGCATTTGTGTGCATGTATATATATGCTTGTGTGTGTGTGATGTGTGTGTGTGTGTGTGTGTGCTGTGTATGTTTGTGTGTACAAGACTCCCGTTTAGTCACATACACACAAACAGTTTGAAGATGACGGTTCATCATGGTTTTAATTTATTCTCCATGGCTAGGGATGAGGCTCAATGCTTGTCTAGCATGCACAAGGCTCTAGGCCCAATGCAGCCCTGAAGGGAAACGTTGATCTTAATTTGTGGTTCCTAATGGTTAGCCCTGTTAAGTAGTTTTCAGATATTTGTTAACCACTTTTCTTCTTTTGAGAAACACCTGTCCAAGTCCCTTAAGTTTTAACCGAGTTATTTATTCATTGTCTAGCTATAGAGTTGAGTCCAGATATTAACCCCTTTTGAATGTATAGCTTGAACATACTTTCCCATGGTGAGGAAGAAACGGAAAACAGCAAGCTTTGATGTTAATTATGATTGACAAGCTTACTAGGAAAATATCCATGTACACAGGAATAAGGAAACAGAATGAGAAACTGTCTCAGACCCGAG